AATCTTTTATATCTCGTCCATGTTGTAAATAAGGCGTTTCTCACATAGTGATGCCTGAAAAAGTTATCCATCTTAGTCTTTTCATACCACAGGTATGCATGCCAGCCAAATCTGCAATCATGTCCTTCTAAGGTAAGCAGTGTCTTGTTATAATACATCGATCTTAGTCACTATTGGAATGGTTTGAAACAAAAACATCAATCGTGGTAAAACATTCATTTTAACCACTGAAATTCTCCCCAGCAGTGATAAGTTCATAGTATCCCATTTTAAAATTCCAACAGATTTCTTGATTTATTGAAGCATTTAATTGTTCTTGCAAGATTTGAATTTCTTTAAGTATTTTCTTTCCCCCCGGTCTTTTCTTTAATTCTTTTTCCTTCAGTTGTATTTTTTCCATTATATTGTTCTGCTGTTCCATTTTTTCCTTTTTATCTTTACTGTTCAACGATATTAATAGTCCTCTCATTACTGCTTTGTAGGTATCCCAGACTGTTTGTATCTGTGTTCCTTTATTTATGTTCGTTTGAAAAAAATATTTAGTCTCTTTACTTATCGTATCTATAACTGTTTTCTGGTCCAATAGGTCTTCGTTCAATCTCCATCTAAATTTTCTTTTCCCTTCTTTAGATACCCATAGAATTGGATTATGATCTGAATTTATCTTTGGCATAATTTCCACTTTTTGTGTTTTTAAGGCAATGTCACTAGTCGTCCATATCATCTCAATTCTGGAAAAAGAATCATGTTTGTTAGAATAAAAAGTAAAATCTTTAGCTGTAGGATTCCATTTCCTCCATACATCCTCCAAATTTTCTTGTTTGACCAACTTAAAAAACGCTTTTGGTAACTTTCCTATTCTTTCATCAGGTTTCTTAGATTTCCGGTCCAATTTATTATTAATCGTACCATTAAAGTCTCCTACTAATATAGTCTGGTGATACGTCAATTGGTCCAATTCCTGGATCAAAGCTTAAAAAAAATTCTCTTTTGTTCCATTTGGTGCATAAATATTTACAATCAGCGTTTTCTTTTGATGCATAGTCATTTCCACTGCAATATACCGTCCCTCTCCATCTTTAAAAATTTCTTTAGGTTCAAATTCCTTTTTAATGTATATTACAATCCCTCTGTTCTTTTTTGATGCCAGTGAGCAAAATTCTTCACCTAATTGTTTTGTTACCAAATATTTAAAGTCTTGTTTTTTGATACGAGTTTCTTGCAAACAAATTATATTACATTTTTGTTTTTCAAACCAATGTTTTATAATTTTTCTTTTGTTAGGTGAATTAAGTCCATTTACATTCCATGATATTAATTTGTAATCCATAGTGCTGTAATTTTACTTGTCCCCAAAATCTTTGGAGGTATTGAACATAAATCTAATCATTTGTTCCGTGTTCACTTTGATAGTTGAAACTTACTCCTTGTGGTATTTCCCATCTTTATCTTATATTCAGCTGTCTCAGTTTATCTGTTAACTTCCTGAATTTTTTCCTATCCTGAATAATTGTCCTGGGAAGCTCTTTCATAATTATTATCTTTTTTCCGTCTATTTCAGTGGTTCGTTAAATTGCTTCCTAAATATGTCTTCCTTCATCCTTCTAGTTAGTAACTGCACAATCACATCCCTTGGCAAATTCTTCTTTTGAGCATACGCTGAGTTCACTCTATATATCAGGTCAAAATTGTATTTTATATCATCTGCTTCTTCTTGTAAGTATTCTGCAAATGCATCAATTACCACGGTACGAATATTTTCGTTTAAATTCTCTTCAACACCTCTCAATGTAAGGTGGGTCTGCATTGCTCTATATTCCATCATTGTATCTATTCGTTGGTTTTCTTTTATCACTGTTTCCACTTTTTGTCCATTTCTTGTGTTTTTTGCTCTATTTCGGTAGACTTTTGTGTTAGATTTTGGAATTTTCTAATTTCTCCCATTTCTTTTTTAAGATCAGCAACCTCTGACACTACCAGCTCTTTCACTTTATTCATATTTCTATCCTGGACTTCCTCTAGGTTTTCCATTTGTTTTCCCAATCCTTGAATAGCCTCCATCAGTCTTTTTTCCATTGCCTCCATTGCTGCTTGCCACTCCTGTTTATCTTTAGCTTTAGCCATCTTCGGGCTCGACCACATCGCTGCTCTCTGTCTCTGTCTTAGTTCTGTTGTTAACAGTTGTCGAAAATCCACCAACTTTAAATTCAATTTCAATTACACAGTCCAATTGTCCTTTTTTCAATTAGCAGAATCGCTCTATTTTCTTTTTCCAAATATAAAAACCAAGCTTAAAATTTCAGTTTTAAAAATTAGTCCTCCCAAATATGTCTATTGTAAACAGAAGCTGTGGTTGTGTGTATGTAGCACCAGCTGGTTTTGTATCAGGACAGCAAGTTTTCTTTACCAGCTAATGGAAAATACATATCCGCTCTGAGGGGAAAAAATCCAAATATTAGCTGCTGCCAACCTAGCAGTTCGAAAGCAAGAAATTGCAAGTAGATAAATAGGTACCACTTCGGTGGGAAGGTAACAGCATTCCGTGCACCTTGGTGTTTAGTCATGCTGGCCACATGACCACGGAAACGTCTTCGGACAGCGCTGGCTCTTCGGCTTTGAAACGGAGATGAGTCCTAGAGTCGGACTCGACTGGCTTTCGAGCAAGGGAACCTTTACCTTTACTTTTTATACCAACATAAATACATGGCCGCTGTCATGATTGCTAGCCAAACACTAATCCCAAGTCAATAAAACTGTGAGATCATTATTGTAATTCTTTGAGAGAAAGGAGCTAGATCAGGTAAGCTTACTGCTGTAAATCAGGAAGGACGTAGTTCAAATCTTGCCTGTGTTATTACTTAAAATGGGGAGGAAAAAACTGGCTTCCCTTATGATGCTGTTGTAAGGGTTGCTGAACATTATGTTAAGGACACTGAATACTTCAAATGCACTATATATGTGCTCAGTATTGTCATTGCCATTTTTTCCTGTAGGGGGTTTATTATTTAAACACAATGGATCAGAGCAGTGTGAATTTCCAAGACACCCCCCCCCCAAAAAAAAAAAAAAAAAAACTATTCCTGTCTTTTATCATTTTGTTTCAGATCTGGAATGTTAGAATCTGGGATTGACAGAATCATTTCTCAAGTTGTGGATCCAAAGATCAATCACATATTCAGACCACAGGTGGAAAAAGCTGTCCATGAGTTCTTAGCCACGTTAAATCATAAAGAGGAAACCAATCCCAGCACAGCACAACCTGAGGAGAAACCAGATGTCTCTCTTACCATGCAAGGTATGTCTTTCCATTGCCCTTGGCAAAATGGACACACTGTTGAGTCTTTAATACTGGGCTTCAGGCCGGCTGTGTCTGAAAATTCAACACTAGGTTTTATTTTCCATGCCCTTACAGTGGTTTTTTTTAGAACTGAAACAGGTTTTCGATGTAATGATACATTAATATAGCTCAAAACTGAGCGTGAACAAAAAGGCACAGGAGAACAGACCACCACTTGGAATTCAAAATCTAATCCAAATGCGCTGTGCATATCATTTAAAAGAGCCCATTTGCAAGTGCTACGTCTGAAACAATCCCACCTTGGTTTTACAACATTTGCAACCAAACCTTATTGAAAACGGGATCATGTCTTCGGGTGAAAAGTGCCCTGTGCTTTGACAGTAAGAAGGGAGCCGAGGGAGAGGCAGGGGTAGTAACGGAGGAAAGATAGGTGTCCTTGAGCTTTATTTCAACTGGGAGGACAGAAGGGGGTCAGGTCAAACTGTTGCACATCTTTCGAAGTTCGCATTTCAGGTGACTTTGAACCCTAATAGTTTATCATCATGTATTTTATGGTAAATGCCAGAAACGTGATGAATGTTTACATTTGCTGGTAAATGTAACACAAGTTTGTGTTGTCAGGGTTGTTTTTGAATATTAATACGGGTGCCATGATGAACTTCCCTAACACGTGTCTCATGAACACACTTTGTTGCCTTTGAAACTTAATAGTAATCATCAGAATCTCCAAATATTTTCCTCTGGTTCTCTACAGGTCTTAAGAATGACTGGTGTGTATCAGTATTTACAACTTGCTGACATTTGACTGAACATATATAAAGCTCCTCTATGGTGATTAATTTGACGTTTATGTTTAGGTCTCTCAAGAAAAGGGAGAATAATCTGATCTTCTTCGTGGTCTCTGTGCATCACACCCTTGGGATACACTGCGCCTGCGCTGAACCTTCTCGGTACCGATAGCTAGCAAAAAGGGATTTTCGCGCCTCTCCCAGGTCACGCGCCGACTCCACTGCGCATGACCAAGGAGGGGCACGCAGATCCCGCCAGTTCCTTCTGACCGCCGCCCAACAGCCTTCAAAGAAACAAGATGAAGGGCCGAGAGCAGAGGGGAAGGAGGGCGGGTGGTGTGAATGCACAGATGACCACTCGAAGATCACCAGTTACAGGTAAGCAACCTGTCTATCTTCTTCGTGGTCTCTGTGCATCACACCCTTGGGAGAATAGCAAGCAATAACTCTTACCTGGAGGAGGGGCCGAGGCCCTACACCTGCGCCGTCTGCAAAATAGACCGACCCAACGCCACACGACGAGTAGACCGGACATCCAGGGCATAATGCTTCACGAAGGTGAGCGGAGTAGCCCAAGTCGCAGCGTTGCAGATGTCCTCCAATGGCATACCTCTCATGAAAGCTGTAGAAGCCGCTACCGCCCTGGTAGAGTGGGCGCGAAGCTGACCTGGAAGAGGTTTCTTAGCCAAAGCGTAACACAGTTTGATCACTTCCACGATCCATCTAGACAGAGTCTGGGAAGAGATCTTCTTGCCTTGTGCGGGCATACTGTGAGCCACAAACAAAGCTGGAGACTGGCGAAAAACTGGTTGATGGTGGCAGATTCAAGAGAATGTCTCCTTCAGCACATCACCATCACATTGTCGGTCCTATCCTCCCTTGGAATTCTGGTGAATTTACAGAAATCCATGCTGCAACCTGCAACTCGCGTGCAGTTCATAGGAGCTGTCATAGACTCCCTAGCCACTCGGGCGTACCTTCCTCGCCAACGGGCAGATACCATTCGTCTGGAAATTCAACGTTTGTTCCAGTCCAACGTGACATCAGCGGTCCACATTCAGCGGATCTTGGGTCTCATGGCAGCCACCACTTCCGTGATCGAATATGCACGCCTTCGCATGCGCCCGTTGCAGCTGTGGTTTCTAAAGAAATTTCGCCCTTCCATCCATCCTCCGAGCCTTCAACTGGTAGTGCCTCCGCAGGTCCTCGTCTCCCTGCAGTGGTGGCTCGTGGACACCAATCTGTTGGCGGGTGCACCGTTCCAACCGATCGTTCCCGTAATGTCCATCACCACAGATGCCTCCCTGTGGGGTTGGGGTGCTCATACAGACGACACTTGTGTGGGTGCTCCATGGCAACCCCTTTGGAAGAGTCATCATATCAACTATCTGGAACTGCTGGCCGTAAAATTTGCCCTCAGATCCTTACTCAGACAGGTTGTAGGAAAAGCTGTGTTGATTTTTACGGACAACACAACTGCGATGGCTTATATCAATCGCCAGGGCGGGACCGTGTCCAGGTCCCTTTGCAGGCTAGCTATGGACATATGGGAAGAGTGCCTTCATTGGAACATCACTCTCCAAGCTGCCCATCTGCCAGGAACTTTGAACCAACAAGCGGATTTCCTGAGCAGAGGGGGAGCATCGGACCACGAATGGGAGTTGAACTCAAAGTATCTCCTTCCTCTTTTTCAACATCTGGGACATCCCCACATCGATGTTTTTGCAACTCGATTGAACAAGAAGTGTCCCAGGTTTTGCTCCAGAGCGGGGTTGGACCCTCTGTCAATGGGGGACGGTCTGTTGATGTCGTGGGCTCACGACTTTCTATACCTATTTCCTCCGATTCCGCTGCTCCACAGGGTGCTTGTGAAAATACAACAGGACAAGCCCCATTGTCTCCTGGTAGCCCCCTGGTGGCCTCGGCAGGTGTGGTTTCCGACACTGCTGCGGTTAGCCAAGGGATCCTTCGTACACTTCCCGCAGGAGTTGGATCTCCTCCAAGCTCAGGAAGGCCAGGTCCTTCACTACGATCCTCTGAGTCTCAAGTTGACTCTATGGGAAATACGCTTTCAGTGATGGATGACCGTATCAATGAGGTCCTGTTGAATTGTCGTAAACTGTCTACTAGGACGTCTTACGCAAAGAAGTGGGATTTATTCCTACAGTACTTGAGTTCTTCCAATTTACCTCCTCCGCCAGTGGATTTGAGGTCTATTTTTGCGTTTATTTTGTCCAGAATGGACTTGGGACTCAGTTTTTCTTCAGTTAAGGTGTATTTAGCTGCGGTGTCAGCTTTTCATCCATCTATTGATGGGTTTTCAGTTTTCTCGCATCCTCAGACGAAACAGTTTTGTAAAGGTCTTATTCGCCTGTACCCTCCCCGTCGTTCTCCGACTCCGGCCTGGGATTTGGCTTTAGTTTTGCGGTTTTTGATGGGAAAACCCTTCGAACCACTGGCCACTTGCTCTCTAAAGTTGTTATCGCTCAAGACTGCGTTTCTGGTGGCCATTACTTCTGCTCGTCGAGTCAGTGAGTTGTCCGCTTTAAGGTGTGATCCACCATACTTGATTTTTTCCCCTCATGGGGTGTCGTTGTCTTTGGACATCTCCTTCTTACCGAAAGTCGTTTCGGAGTTTCATCTACGTTCAGATATAGTTTTGCCGTCATTTTTCCCGTCTCCTGCCAATGAAGAGGAACGGAAATTGCACTCTCTGGATGTTAAGAGGGCGTTGCTGTTCTATTTGGGCAGGACCAAGTCTTTTCGTCAGTCTCCTGCCTTGTTTGTTGCTCACAGTATGCCCTCCCTGGGGAAGAAGATCTCTTCCCAGACGCTGTCCAGGTGGATTGTGGAAGTAATCAAGCTATGTTACGCTTTGGCTAAGAGACCTCTTCCAGGTCAACTTCGCGCCCACTCTACAAGGGCGGTGGCGGCTTCCACAGCTTTCCTGAGAGGGATGCCATTGGAGGACATCTGCAACGCTGCGACTTGGGCTACTCCGCTCACCTTCGTGAAGCATTATGCCCTTGATGTCCGGTCTACTCGTCGTGTGGCGTTGGGTCGGTCTATTTTGCAGACGGCGCAGGTGTAGGGCCTCGGCCCCTCCTCCAGGTAAGAGTTATTGCTTGCTATTCTCCCAAGGGTGTGATGCACAGAGACCACGAAGAAGATAGACAGGTTGCTTACCTGTAACTGGTGATCTTCGAGTGGTCATCTGTGCATTCACACCACCCGCCCTCCTTCCCCTCTGCTCTCGGCCCTTCATCTTGTTTCTTTGAAGGCTGTTGGGCGGCGGTCAGAAGGAACTGGCGGGATCTGCGTGCCCCTCCTTGGTCATGCGCAGTGGAGTCGGCGCGTGACCTGGGAGAGGCGCGAAAATCCCTTTTTGCTAGCTATCGGTACCGAGAAGGTTCAGCGCAGGCGCAGTGTATCCCAAGGGTGTGAATGCACAGATGACCACTCGAAGATCACCAGTTACAGGTAAGCAACCTGTCTTTTTTTGCTATAGCACCTGAATGTGTTAGTTTAAGAGCAGATTTTTCAGGTGTCACCTATCCAGCTGTGCTGACATTTTGTTCTTTATCTTCCTCAAAGGTATATCTGTCGCCACTCCTAGTGCTGGTGTGGCTAGTGATGCCATGTCCATTTTGGAAACCATAACTTCTCTCAACCAAGAGGCCAGTGCCGCCAGGGCTTCCACAGAGGTGATGAATTCCAGGGCTACTGACAGAACTTCAAGAAAACTCTCATCTCAGCAGAGTGTCGATGGTGGGATTGAGCGAGATCGAAATGCTGATGATATGCTGGATGGGGAGAAACCATGTAACTCGGCCGAAGAAAGTGCAGAAATGGTAACGAACGGGGAAGAGGTAAATACCTTCTCTTCAAGTGAAGAAAGAAAAACTGTGCCAAAAGAAGCTCCTGGTTTGATCAACCCAAGCAAGGATGTTGTGCAGGAAGGAGACGAGCAGAAAAGCCGGCTGGCAGATAGGAAGCCGGAGAGCTCAGAGAAAGGAGAGAGGAAGAAAGAGAAAAAGGAAAAACTGGACAAGAAGTTGGACCACTTGAAAAAGAATGACGACATTCTGAAAGTGCGAGAAGAAAAGATGGTGAAAGAGAGAGAGACAGAATTGATCAAACATGCAGCTGGGGACAAAAACAGCAGTAAACACAAAGCAAGTGAGAGCACAAAAGACAGTGAGTATGCAGTGCTGGGTGGGTGAGGGATGATGAGATTTTGGGGGGGTGGTTGACTGAAAAAGCTCTGCTCTGAATAAGTAAATATTGGCAGCTGTGTACTTCGAGAAGTGTTGTTTGTTTCCATTCATAATGTGATGGTAAATTTTTAAGAAGTCTGCCTAGCTAATTTATTTGCTGTATTTGGGTTATATGTTTATCATACTGTAACACTGCAAATGACAACATTTTCAAAGTATTAGCAGCAGATTTCTACAGCAGAAACATCCAGAGGTAAAATGGTGAACTCCTTGGGGATGGGGAATGGTGTGATACAGCTTTTTGTCTATTGTGTTTCTGTTTAAGCCATCTGTTTCTCACTCATGTCCTTAACTGTTGGGAAAGCATTAATGGCAGACTGTAACCAGGAAGGAAAATTGGCCAAAAAAAGAAGAAGCCCACACCTGTTAGTACATGGCTTGTGTGGTTTTTTAGGTATTTAGAAATAGTATTGATTATTGAGTGAGTATTGGAGCACCGATATTTTTAATAACTCTATTATGTTGTATTATTGTATTTTTATACTGTTCTTACTGTTTTAATCTGGCATTTATGCCCTTGTTAGCCACCCTGAGCCTTCGGGGAGGGCGGGATACAAATCTAAAGAATGAATAAATAAATAAATAAAATTATTCTGCCTTTCTTTCCAAACTAGTTTTGGAGGATTCTGATACGGAGATACTCAGTGATATCACAGTTAGTTCTGTGCACACCAGTGACCTTTCTTCCTTTGAAGAAGAAAGCGAAGAGGAACTTGTGCTTTCAGACAGCACGGAAGAAGGAGAGATTGTTTCTGATGGTGAGTCAACAGTTCCAAACCAACACTGGAGTTCTTTGCTCATAGAACCAAGGAGAAGGTTGAAATACGCACCATTTGCTAGGTTTGAATCGTTGTGCATTGCCAGGGTCCAGGGCAAATGTACATGTTTAACCACCACTTAGAGATCGTGATCATTTGTGCCCTCCTCTTTTAGATGTGAATGGCATCTGTGCAGGTTCAGCATTCTGTGGGGGTGCCCCCTGGCTGTGTTAAAGGGAGCCCAGGTGTGCTCCTTCTGCCAGTAGGGGAACCTGATAAAATGGGCTCCTCAAGGTATCCCAGATAAGAACGGAACACTAAAGCCAAGTGGATGTGGATGCAGGGGCTCACCTGTAGTACTGTAAGGTACATATGGCTGTGGTCTGATCACAGCTAGTTATGCTGTACACCTGCAGTTGACCTTAATCAGTTATCCCTGTTACTGACAACACCAATAGAACAGTTTAGAATAGCAGAGTATCACTGAAGTATGTAATTTAGAGTCAGCATGGCAATGTCAGCTAAGGCGGCCATGTAATGGAATGTGTGGGTTGCTGTCCATGTCTCTCACTCCCCCTCCCTGCTTCTTTACATCTTGAGCTGTTATCTTAGTAGTGTCCTTGAAGCTGTGTATTGCCTGCTCCTAGCTTCCCGCTGGGAATATAACCCTTGCTTTTTGCCCACTTTCCCAGGTGCTTGCTCACTGGCCTTTCCGTGTCAGGGGGTCTTGTATGAAGGGGGGGTATATCTGGGGTTTCCTTCACTGTCCCTCCATTCCTGACACAGAGGTTCATGGTGTCTTAAGTACTCGCTCTCAATAAACTGAAACTTCTGAAGGAACGTTGTTGAGTGTGATTGACAGAAGTCCCTGACAGGCATAGAGATTAGAGTGCCTGACTAGGGTATTGGAAACCGAGGTTCGAATCCCCACTCTGCCGTTGAAGCTTACTGGGGGGGACCTTGGACCAGTCATACACCCTCAGCCCTAACCTACCTCTCAGGGCTGTTGAGAGGGTGGAATTGAGCAGTGGAGGAGGATGCAAGCCGCTTTGGGTCCCCATTGGGGAGAAAGGCAGGTGTAAATAAAGTAAAATAAATAATGTTTCCCTGTGGTTATAGTCACGCTTAAGCCTGTTCCTTCTGTTCATCCTGAATCAAACACAGTAGCTTTAAGATACTACCCAGGCAGGCCATATGTATGTTTCCCTGAAATTCACCTTGATGGGTGACTGGATATTTTGCTTCATACTAAGCTCAAAGAACATGAGATGAGTTCTTTTTGAGTGGTCAAGAAGGAACTAAGCACAGAGTCCCGCAGCAGAGGCATCGTGGTCCATCATTCAGAGACAAGGTCAGGTTTGTCACAGGGATGGATGTAGAGCAGACTTAAATTTCCTGGGTTGGATCCCGCACATCTTTTCCCGCCAACAGCAAAGCCATCCACTGGTGAAAAGCGCCTTCCTCTGACACAGGAGAGTCTTCTGATGTTGATGTTAATGGGTCGGATCCATGGGATCCAACCACCTGCTTTCTAGGCATTTGAGAGTGTTGCATTAGTTTGGGTATCGTGTTGCTGGGGGCGCAAAATCTGCATTGTCAGCCTGTGTCTAAGCAGTTGGTGTCTCTTGTCTTCATTTATCAATCCGTGCCATGTGTTCAGTTGGGAACATACTTGCATAACCTACATATTCATTAGACTTTATAATCCATGTTAAAAATACACGTCCTGTTTTTATCATACATGCCTATATAGAGATGTGAAGGCCCAGAAAAAAACCGGAAAATTTCGGGGAAAAACCAGTTTTTTTCCTGAAGCCTTTTTTTGTTTTTTTCTGAAAAATTGGAAAAATTGAAAAAAGAAAAGAAAAGGAAAAAAATTAACTATAGAACGTTTTATTTTAACATGATGAATAAAATATTTTCAGACAAGGTGTTCAAATATTTTCCAAATCATTTCTAAAATATATATATATGGTATCTGATCTAATTTCTGTGCACTAGGTTACAAACTGAACTCTCCAATGCAAGAACAAGATGCATTTCTTCCTTTAGGAGATGCTATTGTCAGAAGAAAATAAAAAGGTTTCAGTTTCGTTTTTGCATGTGGGTGGGTATTCTGTTTGTAATTGTTTGGATACACTATATTTTTAATATGCTAGTTGTAATAATTTCATGCCAAGTAAGAATGTCCATAGTCATATTTTATGTTCCTAAAGTAACAGAATGACTTTCAATCTAGAAAAGACAAAAGAAATTATGTCTCTTGTCTTCAGAAATAATGTAGCATTTTTTTCGATTTTTCCAAAAATTTCCATTTGTTCCCGAAAAAAACTGGGGAAAAAACAGGGTTTTTTCCAAGCTTCAAAATTTCTGGAAATTTTACATCTCTATGCCTATATCAGCATGGCGAACTAGTGTATGGTGTCTGTGAGGAGTGCTGGGAATTTTGGTAGCAGTGACAAACTCATGTCAGTTCCTAGTTCAAACATCTGTGGCATGTAGATTGCAAGTACCATGGTTTTTTTTTAAAAAATAGAGGTTTTTCTTAAGCTGAACATTTTGTTGGAGTAAACTGCTGTGTCTTATTTTTAAAAGCTTAGGCTAGGATCCAAACAGCCATGCACGCATGCAGAACGCATTCTTGTTCTTTCAAGTTTTCTGCTTCTTCCTTACCAGTTACAGTCTCCACGCAGCATTAAATATAGGCCCTCAGCCTCGGGGGGTGGGGGGGCAGAATCTACCAGGGCTAGCAGCATGTTGGTGACTTGACTGACCAACGTTTAAATTTTCCATGAGGCCCAGGATGCCGCTACGTAGGTGGAAGGCTGCCTTTTGGACTTTCATTATGATAACCTGGATCCAACCATATGAAGAAAACTTGTGCCCTTAAGAATTTTTTAAGAATGGATGGAGGTTTATGTTCTTTTTCCCCTCATATGGCAGACTGTGTTGTTCCTGAAGATCCACTGACACACAAACGCCCCAAACATGCACAACAGAATTTCAGGAGACAAAGAGCGGGGGGGGGGGGGGGGTCACCAAAATTCTCCTGTCCCTCCCAGCTGTGTGTCTTGTGTTAATGGGCCAGAAGGAAGAAGGGCTTGCTCCTTAGCCTCTCTGCAGTTGGGACACTACTTGCCATCTATCTACTGTAACTATAAACCTCTCCAAGCACAAGTGGACATTTTTAAGAAGTTATTTCCATGGCTTTACAGTGATTTTTTTTGTTTTTGCAGTCATGTAGCCAGTGATTTTAAAACATCATTTTAGTTCTATTAAGATTGATGCTTTAAAAGGCATGGAAGGGCGTACACTGAGGTTTATAAGATTATGCATGGGATAGAGCAGGTAGAGAAAGAAGTACTTTTCTCCCTTTCTCACAATACAAGAACTCGTAGGCACTCAATGGAATTGCTGAGCTGTCAGATTAGAACAGACAAAAGGAAGTACTTCTTCACCCAAAGAGTGATTAACACATGGAATTCACTACCACAGGAGGTGGTGGCGGCTACAAGCATGGACGGCTTCAAGAGGGAATTAGATAAGCATATGGAGCAGAGGTCCCTCAGTGGCTATGAGCCACAAGGTATAGATAGGAACTCTCAGTCTGGGGCAAGTGATGCTCTGTATTCTTGGTGCTGGGTGGGGGCAACAGTGGGAGGGCTTCTGGTGTCCTGACCCCACTGCTGGACCTCCTGAGGGCACCTGATATTTTTGGCCACTGTGTGACATAGAGTGTTGGGCTGGATGGGCCATTGGCCTGATCCAACATTGGCTTCTCTTATGTTCTTATGAGAAGGGAGGGCCAGAAAAGCAGCACTGCTCACATGGAATATTGTGCTTGACCCAATAGATCGCATCCCTCATGCGGATTTAAACTTGACTTTCTTCTAAATTGCCTTCATTCTCTTATTGTTCTAGATGAAGAAGAGGAACACAGCAATATTAAAACAAAACCAGAGGCTGGCGAGTCCAGTGATAAAAAACCAAAATCTGGCCGACATGCTTATGTACACAAGCCTTACCTTTATTCCAAATACTACAGTGATTCTGACGATGAACGAACTGTAGAGCAACGCCGCCAATCTGTTGTAAGTTCGATTGGACATCCTTTATTTATTTACTATTTACACATTTATAGTTCAGCTTTTTGCCCTCATCGGGGCCACTGAGGCGGCTAACATATTAAAACCATACATTAAAAACCTGCATCTTAAAAATCATTAAAACAAATGGAACACCTTGTTAAAACAATTCCTTTCTTTTAATTGGATTAAAGCTCCTTGACTAAGTCTCGAGCAGTCAAAAACCCATCCGTCAAGTAGTATAATCTGGACACAACAGTAAGCCAGTGGAAATATCTCACAACAGTGGAACTAAGGTTAGAGAATCCGTTAGAAAAAAGGAGTAAAATTAGCTTGTGATAAGACAAATGAAAAGTTATCTAGGTACTGTGTTAAAAACCTATTTTTAAGGCTAATATAAAGAGGACACTCCAACAAAATGTGTATCAAAGTACCAATTCCCCCCCCCCCCCGAGAACAATCACAAAAGGGGTCTGAGTAATATATCTTAATTTTCTCTTCATAACAGGAGTAGGCTGTGCATTCGATTGAGTTAATAAGAAATCTCTAAAGTAATTTGGGATAGTTAGATGAAAAGCATAGGGAGACAGCGATTATTTGTGGAGGAATACCAAAAATTACAGAAGAGCAAACCCTGTGGGCTCAAGTAATCCCAGAATAACCCAGAAAGGGTTATTCTTCTTGATATAGGACTTAACAGGTGCGGGTTCCAGGCCCTGAATGATGTCAGGATTTAGTCCAATAAGAGAGAGTTTTTTGACAAGAATCTTGGACCAAGAGGATTTATGAGAATCTGCTTTTAATAAAGACGGGTATCCAGGGTCACTATAGAGCACTTGAAGGTGCCAACTGAAGGCCAGGTGCCAGGCTTTAGCTTCCAAAGACGCTTGACCCAATTCTGCTCGAAGGGAACTCCACCTTCGCGTGTTGGTGTGTTGGAAGCAAAGTAGGGAGAGGTCTAAGGATTCTTTGACTGATTGGATGCAGATGGCTGCCCTGAAAAGCAGAGTAGAGACAGTTTTCATACTGAAAACTTGAATTGCCCCAGATAAAAACTTTAGGGTGCCTTCAGTACAAGGTGCTGCTTTCTTCAGCATGGTTTTTTATGATAGGACCAACTCAAATTATATGGAAAAACTATTCCCAGATACGTAAGTTCCTTCACTTGTTGGATTCTAATATTATCAGTGGATCATTGGTATAAGGGAGGATTCCTTTTCTTCTGAAAGAAAAGTACTTTGCATTTACCATAATTTCTAGTTCTTCAGAATGACAGTAAATGGCAAATTTGTTCAATAGCCACCGGAGTCCAGCGTGAGAAGCAGTTAGAGCAATTAAAACCAAAGCTAAAATACACATACAAAAACATAAAAAACAGCAATTAAAACTTCGGGGAGGAAGTACACTTCCATGTTTTAGGGTGGGTCTCCTTTTAATTTTTTAAAGCCTATGCAGTGAAGTGCTGAGTGCAACAGCATGGTGATCAGGAGCTAAAGAAGCCCTCACCCACTGCTCATTCGGTCCACTTTCCCTTCTGGTGGCAAGCGCTACGGGTGGCCAGTGGGAGGGGGGCTCCTACACAAAGGCCTCAGGCACCCTTTTGTCCAGTGCCTGTAACATTTTCACCTTCCTGTTTTCTTCAGGCTAAAGAAAAAGAAGAGAGACTTCTAAGGAGACGGCTTAACAGAGAAAAACTTGAAGAAAAGCGGAAGCAGAAAGCTGCAGAGAAAACAAAAACCTTGAGAACAGGCAATCAAGGTGCTGGGGAGGTTGCTTAAATTAATGCTCCTTGTACTTTGTTTCAGTTAATATTTTCGCTCTGTCATTTGGTTTTGTTTTTACAAAAGAGTGAAGTCCTGTTTTTCTGGCAAGAGAGTAATGTTCAAATTTTTTACTATGTCGTTTTTAGGCAAAAGCAGTCAAAATGTGGAAGAGGCTTCCAGTAAAGTCCTTGATTCAAAAGCCAGCTGTGCCAGCATTAAAGATGTGCTGAAAGAACAGAGGTTTTTAGAAAAAAAGGTGGCATTAAGCAGGAAAAGAAGGAGGGAGTCAAGGTATTCACTTCTTTTCTTATAGGGGAAATTAAACTACATTGATTCCCCCCACACACACACATATTAAAATATATTTGCTGTTCACAAGGCGTGCGTTGACATCATTTAAAATCACTGGAGACAGATATTGCTTGTCTGATACAAAGTGGCAAATAGGTTTTCCTAAGCCTCCTTAATCCGTTAATTGAAATCAAACAGATGTAAGCAATTAAAATTGCTTCCCCTTTTGCGTGTTTCAGACATAATGACGAAGGTGGGAAGAAGAAATATGAACAGCCAGAGGAAGATCTCAAAGAACCCCAAAAGACAAATGAAGTATGTCTTCTATTATCATCTTGTAAAACTATTGCACTGTAAAATTTGATAATTTGTCCCGTGGTCTTTCAGATTTTGGCAGTATAAGCTTTTGCTGACAATGTTTTCATTTAGTTACAAACCCTGGTTTCAGTCCCATGGTAATCTTCTACCAATGGAGAGGGAGGTTGCTGATTCCCCACCACCACCTTGCGACAGACTTCAGACTCCCCCCTTACGTGGGTTCTTGGGATCCCCTGTCCCCCCGAGGGCAGCATTTTTGGGGAGCATTTCAGAGTGCAGCAGGAAGGGAGAAACAAGGAAGTACCATTCTGCTGATAGGAATGCCTTCCGTTAGCAGAAATTTCCTGTAGAATGCAAGCCTGTCAGATTTTTATGAATTTAGCTGTGCTGGTCCGGATCCTGCTGTGCAATTACAAATACTTAAGCTTTCTTAAGAGGAGAGGGAGATTTTTGCTGATTTTTCTCATAAGAACGTAAGAAGAGCCCTGCTGGATCAGACCAATAGTCCATCTAGTCCAGCATCCTGTCCCACACAGTGGCCAGCCGGTTCCTCCAGACAGCCGACAACAGGGCATAGAGGCCGAGACCTTCCCCTGCTGTTGCCTCCTGGCTCTGGGATTCAGAGGTTTGCTGCCACTGAACATGGAGGTTCTCCTCAGCCACCACAGCTAGTAGCCATTGATAGACCTATTCTCCGTGAATCTACCTAATTCCCTTTTCAAGCTGTTTATTCCTGTGGTCATCACAACATCCTTTGGCAGAGAATTCCACAGTGGAGGATGCCTCCTCTTGTTGCCACCCAAAGGGATTCTCTCCCCTGTTGGAGGGAGGCTGTGGCAGTTTTCACTTCTTGGTCCCACAGAAGGAGCAACCAATACAGCACTGCTTCTTGGCCCTGGGGTTGGGTTAAACTGGGCAGAGTACAAGCCTGGGACTTAGCACTACAGGCAGATTGGGGCAAAGACAGGCAATGAATGAGCGTCCAAAGTTAACTGATAGAAAACAAGCCAATGAACCAACATCCAGAAAACAGGGATGGAAATTTAGATATATGGTGGAGCTGAATTGATTATCTACTTTCACCATTTTGGGGTTGGAAGAGAAGAAGAATATAATCCAGCTAGAAATTGCAGACTTCTTTTATTGATTCTTTAGAATAGTGAATTATGGCTGTGATGCAGTGTAGAGGTATCTAGCCATTTGTTGCATTATCTAATAATATGTTTTCTTGTAGAGTGGTGAAAAGCTGTCTTCAAAGGAAGTGAAAGCGAATCAAGGCAAAACTGAAATGAATAAACTTGTTAGAAGACTTTCAGAGTTGGTTCACTCAACTGAAGAGAGCAGAAATGATTCCAAAGTAGAAAGAGAACACAAAAGGAAAACTTCTGCCTGTCTCCAACTGGATGCAACCCAGCATGATCCAGAAGTCAAGGACCCAAAGGCTCACAGTGACAGGTCAGAGGCCAACCCAGAAGAACTTCAAAAGCAGAAAAACGTACTTAAAAATGAAAAACATATTAAAAAGGAAGATTCGGAACCCCAGAATTTCAAAAGCACACTCAAGAAAGATGCTAGGTCATCAAAAGAGAAAAATGAAAAAGAAAGAACTCTTTCTGAAGATAAACCAATTACAAAGCATAAATATAAAGGAGATGCTGTTCATAGAACAGGTGACGAGGTAGAAAATCTGTCATCTGAGAAAGGTCTCAAAGCTGAGGAGAGCATTCAAAAACATAATCAGTTAACAAAAACTCTCTCGGGTGAAAGGAAGAATAAGCACAGAAGCGAAAGGAAAGCATCAGCAACCAACAAAGAAGTAAAAAATGCTTCTGAGCCTGTTTCTAAAAATGAGGAAAGTTCACGTAAAGAGAATAACAGGAAATACAAGCATATTTCTACAGAAAAATCAAGGGCAGAACATAAGAGCAAAAAGTCATCAAGTGATTCTAGGCCACAGAAGGAGTCTCAGAGTACTACATCAAAGCCACACAGTTCTACAACACCAAAGAGAAGTGAAAGTTATTTAGATGATAAGGATCGACATGATGCAGAATCTGTTAACCTGGACAGTGCTTCAAGACAGGGTGACGGTATTCACAAAGACAGGCGAAAATCAAAAAGTATCTTAGAAGGAAGGCTCTTGATAAAGTCCAAATCCAAGAGTCATAGCAAACAAGGCAAAGGACCGGAAAATGAATTGCAAGAAAGTTGTTCCAAGCAGGAATCTGGGCAGAAATTGGAAAAAGAAAAGAATGCAGAAGAAAGTGATCTAGATAGGCATTTGAAATCCAAAAGTGAAAGTAGAATTTTGGAAGACAGTTCTGTGGAGTTGGAGCCTGAAAGTGGAGCGCACGTCTTGAGTAGTTCACAAAAAGATTCTGGTCACAGGGTTAAGCCACAGTTGACAGAAAAATCATCTACAAAAGAGAAAACTAAAAGTGATAAGGATTTCAGCAGTTCCAGGCTGGAGAGGAAATTGTCGGCGGAAGGTCACAAAACCAAAAGTTTGAAGCACAGTAGTAAGGAAATGAGGAAGAGAGAGGAAGAGAGCAAGCTGGAAGACAAAGGTGTTAAACAAGTGGATAGTCATGCCAGGATGCAAGAGAACAACCAGTTTACAGATAAAAAAGCTAGTAAAAGATTAGCAGGGGAAAACAGAAAAGGAAGTTTGTCTTCCCAAAACATGGATATGGGAGAAGAAATAATATCAGGTGTAGGTGGCTCTTTCCCAGCTTCTCAGAACATAGTCTGGACTAGTAGTCACACACATTCTGAGCAGGACCAAGAGCCAATGGAGATTGAATTGGAACAAATGCTTAATGAACCATCTCATCAGACATCTCAAGCAGAAGAAAAAAACAGTAATAATTCACAGGAGACTAAATTTAAAAATGCAGCCAAAGACCAAACTCCTCATAATTCAGTGGATGAGTATAATAAATCAGGTCATTCCAAAGAAAGAACATCAGAACCTTCCCTTTCAAGTCCCATTAACTCCAAGCAAAAGGATGAAAATCCTCCCGAAAAGGAAGAAGATGGACCGAGAGATATAAATGTTCACGCTTTGAAGAATGTGGAACCTACTGAGTGGAAGGCATCTCATGTGATTGCTTGGTGTAAGACAAGTGACCAGGTCTCACTTACTTCTCACAAGGACAATGAGAAGTTAGAATCCCAAGGGGTGTCTGAGGGCACTCCAGCACTAAACACAATTAAAAATGTAATTGATCCACGCCAAGAAAGCACTTCTCCAACAAAGAGCTCCTCAAGAGAAGAGGGTAACAATCTTGCAGAAATCACAAACCCCTTGATTAGTGTATCTGTGGAGGAATCTTTTACTTTGGGTACACCTTGTATTAAAGATGCCATTTCTGACAGTAAAAGAGAAGATAATGTTAAAATGGAACAACCTGATACCCTTGCACTTGGCAGTAATATGAAAGGAGGTGCAATAAATGACATAACCATTGGAAGCAAAGGTGAAGCTGCTTATTTAAGTGGTGAACAAGCGGCAGAAGATAATACAGACATTCAGGAGAGCATTGTACAAGGAAGTGCAAGAAGTGTATTAACTGGTGTGACACAGAATAACAGTCTGAATGACCTGGGGATGGTTGGAGGATGTGTCCATACAGGGGAATCTGAGTCTGCCATCTTGGAGAAAGTAGAAAGAGACAGTCCAGGTGAAGGTTCTTCCGCAAGAGAAGACCAGCATGCAACTGTATGCAAAGACAAAACAAAAGAAGATCACAGTGCCAGTGTTGTAACAGAATCTTCTTCAGGATCAACACCCAAGGACATTTCAGAAGAAGGAGGCAGTGCCAATGCAAAAAGAGTCACTGAAGATAAAAATGAAACCAGTGTCGTAGGCAGTAGTGTAGGAGGCAACACTTCTGGTATTTGCCACAGCATGGAGACTTCTGATGCAACCATTATAGGAACTAGCACAGAGAGAAGTCCTGGAAGCCTGGCAAGAGCTACGAGTACAGGAGAAAGCCGAGGCGAAGGGAGCTCATCTGTAAATTTGCAAAGGGAAGGTGATGCCATTATTTCTTGCTCTGAAGAGAAAGGGAAGGCTACTTTGATCTGTACAAGCATAGAAGCAGATGAAGGTTTCCATGTGGGCACCTGGGCCCAAAACGAACAAGGGCCCCATTTTGTGAGTGGAAAGGACTACAGTGAATGCACGGTCACTGCTGCCGAAGAAAGCGGCGTTGGTGTTACTGAAGGGCTTGCAGCATGTGAAAGTTCCTTGACCAGTACAAAGGAGGAAGACGGTGATGAATGTGCTGCAAATTACATAGAAGAAAGCGGTAAACAGCTAAGCAACAAAAGCAGCGTAGAACTAGAGCAAAATCTGGATAACATTGAGACAGAAGAGAAAGATGATGCTGTGACCAGTGCAGGCCCTGAAGGAAGGCGTATGGCTTCCACTTCTCATGGTACAAGCCACTTTGACACTGCCACTACTGGCATTAATGAGGTGGAAGGTGACGGGGCTGTCACCAGTGCAGGCACCGCAGATCGGGATGGCTCTCTGCAGGGTGAAAATCCAGATGAATTTCAAACAAATGCAAGCGGGGCAGGGCAAGTCAAAGCAGCTGAAGGTGCTGTGACCTGTACAGGGACAGCAAGAGGAAGCGTGGGCTTTGCCATCTGTTCAGTCACTGGTACCGACTCCCAAGAAGACAGTGCTGTGACTGGAGCCTGTGCCAGATTGGAGGCCAGTAATACCGTGACTGGAACACAGGCTGACAAGAGTGAAGACATTGTGTACGGCGAAAGTGCCGTCACCAGCACAGGCATAACAGCAGAAGATGGCCGTGAAGCTGCAGCTGCTTGTACTGGCTTGGAGGACAGCAATGAAGGTTTTTCAGTTTCTTTAGGTGCTCAAGAAAATTATGAGCGTGCTACAGAGAGTACAGAAGCCACAGCTGAAACAAACACCACTGAGGTTAGCCGAGGTTCCTGTGACGATGAAGGTTTTGTGACCAGCACCGGTGCCAAGGAGGATGACGAAGAGGGTGAAGACTTTGTGACCAGCACAGGAAGAGGCAATGAAGAAATTGATCATGCCTCAGCCTGCATGGGAACCGAAGACGTGGAAAGGACAGCACTTGGTGTTGAAGCTGCAGAAAGTGGAAGTTCCTCCATCTGCCAAGCTACAGGCCGGCTTGGAACGGAGTTGGGGGGGCTGACCGCACATGCAGGGAAAGGTCCTGTTGACAGCATGACCCACTTAGGGGAAGACACCCTAAAGAGTGGCCGTGCCAACTGCAGCATCAAGGGAATTGTTGAAAGTAGCACCACTAGTGTCAGTTTAGGCAAAGAAAATGTTATGGCCTTCATCGCAGAAAAAGAGGAAGAGTCTGCAAGTACAGAGAAATATGAATTTGGTGCAATCTCAGATCAAAGTGCAAGCCAGCCTTCTGCTGTGGAAGAGAAGGATGAGAATGCCACCTCTCACTTAGACAATAGGACATGCGAAGGCCTGATCTTAAGAATGGAAGAGGCCATTCCTTCAGCTTCTGGAGACGATGGAGATGAAGTGGAGACCATTTCTACAAGTGTGGTCAAAGTATGTCTTTCACCTCCTCATTGTTCTTCCAAGCACGTGGAACAAACCTGTGCTGAAAACTATGATAAGACCACAAATTTAAGTGGAGAAGAATTTGAGGCCCCTATGCCTAGCACGGCCATTGACTCCTGTATGAGTCAAGATGAAGCTGTTACACCAAATAAGGTTTCCACAAGTGTGTTGGAAGAATTTGAAGCCCCTATGCCTAGCGCAACTACGGAGGATGGTGAGTCTCAGTTTGCTACTAGAAGAGCAGTAGAAATGACCTCAGCCATTGTGGAAATGTGTGCCATTCCCATGCCCAGTGCATCCAGCAGAGAAGCTAACAAAAGCCAAGCAGCAGACCAGAGCCAGGAGGAAAGAGATGAGTGCACTGTGATTTCCACAAGCATTACCGAAGAGCTAGAGGTTCCTCTTTCACACGCAGATTTGATTCCACCCTTTGCTCATGCAGCCGTGATCTCAACAAGCTCTGCAGAACAACATTTGGATACTTCTGTATCTCCTGCAACCACACAAGAATTGAATCCAGTTTCTGAAACAAGAACAGAAGGAAAATTGGAGTCTTTCACTATTTCTACCAGTACGACCGAAGGGGTGTTGATGCCTGCAGAAATAGAAGAGAAGGGTGATGGTACCATATTCTGTCCAGATGCAGCAGAGGAAGACAAAGCTATTCAGCCCGGTGATACTACAGGCCAAGAGTTTGGACTGGCTGTTCAAAGTACATTAAAAAGTATCCAAGGTGCTGCAGTTTTTGTTGAAGAGGAAACAAATTGTGATACCCCTAGACAAAATGTTGCCAGCATCAAACCTCATGTGCAGTCAGTTGCCTTGAATGTAGCGAATCCAGAGGTCATAGCAACAGTCACCACTAGGATGGTGGAAGAATGTGATAGTGTCTCCAACATTCTTGCCTTAGAGGACACTCCATTTGCTTTTGGAAGCACTGAAGTAGATGACGAAAGGAATGTTGTGTGTGCCGAAGAAGGTGACCATTCCATATCTTCAGCCCCAGAAGAAAGCAAGGACATTTCAGTTGTGGTTTGTGAAGAACATCAGAGTTTCTCTCAGGAGGAACCTGAGATTGCTTTGACGGGAGAATCAGTGGCATCTGAGACCACAGAGGACACCAAAAAACCTGAAACAGCTGCAAATACAGGGACATCCACTAGTGTAGGTGAAAACCTCTGTACAACAGTATGTTTGGAGTCCTCTGCTAGTGGGGTGCCGTCTGCTGAAATCGCCATGCTTGTCCAAGAAGATGTGCTACATAATGAAGTCACTTCAAGCCCTTCTGATATCCAGTTGGAACAAGAAAGAGAAGGTAAAAAATTAGTAATAGACAATATTAACCATACCCCAGTATTAAAAACTGACCTTTCTGGGAAAAGGGACCTCCCCGAGGGGGAATATTTGACAGCATTACTCATTGAATCTGAGAACAGAGCACTTGCTGGAGAAACAGATCTGTGCACACAACGTAATTTGGCCGATGTTGAAGCCAAAGTGGATGATTGCCATGAGCCAGAAGCAGCTTTTCAAGACGGTGCAGGACATCGTTCCGGTGAGGTTTCCTTTTTTTTTAATATAATACAGTATTATGAGGTTTCATGTTTGAATGTTTCTTGGTAGTTTTTGAAGACTTCATCAGCTGTTAACATGAATGACCAGTTTGCTGTCTTGGGTTTCATCAGCTCTGCAAAGGAGTCGTGTAACACAAGGAAGCTAAATAAATATTGGGTTGGACACAAACAGCTTTTCTGCTGATGAAAAAGGAAAGTATCCTCTTTGACCACCAAAAAAGGCTATTCTGTGCATCAAGGAGTATGCATGTAAGAAAAGGGTATGTGACAGGTATTTGTAGTAAGAAAGGGGATTGAGCAAGTTTGAATGATAAAGCTGACTGAATCCAGCCCATTAAGTAATGAAAAAGCTCAGCTAAAACTAAAGTTAAGGTTAGGACTCCTTTGGGTAGTAAGCGTTTTCTGTCCTAAGTAGCCAGTGTGAAGACTGCTGCAGGATGAGGTACATAAAAGTACTACATTAGTAATATGTATGGTGAACATCTTATGTAGAAGTAGTACGTAGAGTTAAGGTGTTTCTGAAAGGGAGTGAATTGTCTGATTCTACTGCCTTTAAAATTATAGGAGTGGATTCTGACTAATACAGTCAGAGAAGCATGAATGGAAATGAACTTCTTTCGGCTTTTCTGCTCCCACTATATCCTGCCAGGAAAAGAGTCCGGAGTGGGTGAGGGGAACTGGCAGACATCCTGAGTGCTGACCCTTTTCCATTGACAGAAGGAACTTTTGTCATTGGAAAATATGGTTAGGATCCACCCCATAGGTTATTCCATCATGTATCTGGAAAACCTATGAAGTGATTATTTGGGAAGCACTTCTACAATTTACATATACCATTGGAAAACGGAAACATTGTACACATCTTTATATAGGCACTGCCCAGAATACCTTTTAAATATGTTTGAAGCTTACATGCTATAAGAAATCAGACAAAAATAAAAGAGGAGTTGTACAAGCCAAGTCTTCACATCCATGATGCTACCTTAACTTCAACTAATCCATTAAATTCATTATGAGAATTAGAACAGTCAGAAAAGAACAAAGACTGAGAATCAAGAAAAATAAAATTGGTTTGAATATTATTAGAATGCAAAAACTGCAAGTTATTTAGAATACAGTAAACAAAATATTAAAGGTCTATACGAGAATACTTATGAAAATTTAAATAATAAAGGGAAACTTTAATGAGTGGCAGAAAATTCTTACATCAGATATTCAACAGTGGTTAAATTGATAGCCACATTGTTTGGAATTTCAAACATGACTGATCTTGGGAGGAAAAAACTTGGCAACGAATGATCGCAAAATATTTTGTCGTTTAAGAAAAATATACTTTTTCATCTGTATATAAAAAAGAAAATCCTCTCACCGTAAAATCAACACCCAGGCCAAACCCCTGGACCTAGAAACACAAAATTCAGAGAGAGCACAACTACCATGATATAGATACTCACTAAGAAGGGACTTTTAGAAATTCAACCCCTAAGGGGGTCAAAAGGGGTAAAACATGTTCTGCCCATTGTTTCCTATGTGGCTGCCAGGCTACTGCCTCCTTGCACCCCCCCCCCTTTGATTGGTCAGCTGCAGAGCTCAGTGTTCTGAGGTTAAAAAAAAGTTACAAGAGACTGCAGAGAGCTAATGACAGTTGAGAAAATCAGGAATGACCAACCACCTGTGAGGTGCAGCAAAGCTGCTGGCCCAGCCTCCCCGATGGCTTCAAACACGCTTCCACCACCACCTAAACTTAACAGGCAGCTGTCTGTCAGGTGCAGCAGCGGGTGCAGGGTGCTTAAAGTCATTAGGGAGCCTGCCGCAGCAGTAATGCCTTAGCGATCCTACCAGACCAGCCTCCGCAATGGCTTGCAATACCTCACCCCCTCACCCTTCTACACTGGACAGGAAGCTGCATGTCAGGTGTAGGAGAGGGGGTGGGATGCTTACACACATCGGGGAGACTTGCTCAGCAGGATTGCCTTAGCGCTGCTGCTGGCCCAGCCTCCCCGATACCTTTAAACACACTCCCCCCAACATCACCCAACATCACAAAGGTGGGTGTCTGTCAGGTGTAGAAACAGGGCCAGGATATTTTAATCCATCTGAGAGGCCGCCCAAGCAGAAACACCTTAGCATTGCTGCTGGCCCAGCCTCCCCAATGGCTTCAGACAGACTCCCACCCACCCCTCCTCCACCTCACAGGCGGTTGTCCATCAGGTGCAGGGGCAGAGCATTTAAAACCATTGGGGAGGCTGCCCAAGCAGCATCGCCTTAACAAAGGTGGGTGTCTGTCAGGTGTAGAAACAGGGCCAGGATATTTTAATCCATCTGAGAGGCCGCCCAAGCAGAAACACCTTAGCATTGCTGCTGGGCCAGCCTCCCCAATGGCTTCAGACAGACTCCCACCCACCCCTCCTCCACCTCACAGGCGGTTGTCCATCAGGTGCAGGGGCAGAGCATTTAAAACCATTGGGGAGGCTGCCCAAACAGCATCGCCATCCTAATGCCTTCAGACATGCTACTTCTCCTTCACCTTACAGACAATAAGGGTTGGAGGGTGCAGAGCCCTTAAAGCCGTCGGGGAGGCTTGCTCAGCAGGATTGTCTTAGCACTGCTGCTGGCCCAGCCTCCCCGATGCCTTTAAACACAATCCCCCCCCCCCTTTCACCAGACAGGTGGGTGTTTGTCAGGTGTAGGAGCATGGTCAAGGTACTTTAATCCATCAGGGAGGCTGCCCCAGCAGCCACCCCAATGGCTTTAGCCACACTCCCGCCCACTAGTTTAAAATACTGTAAAACAAATATTTAATTAATAGTCTGCTTAGAATTTGGCATAAGTTTACAAAGAGAATTTGTTTGCTTTTTGTCGTCAAGTCACAGCTCACAGCAACCCCATAGGGTTTTCAAGGCAAGAAACATTCAGAGGTGGTTTGCCTCTGTGTCATGACTGTGGTATTTCTTCAAGGCCTCCCATCCAAATACTAGCCAGGGTCATGAGATCAGGCTAGGCTAGGCTATCCAGGTTAGTGTAGAAAGAGAATTAGCCTGCTAAATGTCTGTTTTGTTGAAAGGATTTAGACTTCAATCCAGTGATGAGTTTGGTTCTTTTGAGGTGTGTGTGTGTATGTGTGTGAATGACACATATAAATGAAGATCTATGAAGTTATTTGTATACCCCTGTATCTCCTTTTCCTCATTTGACAACTGACCATTTCATAAAGCTACCTCATAACTTCTCCGCTAAATCCCTTTTCCACCAACAGTTCCATCTTTCTCTCAGTATTCTGTTCTGACAAAGTATCTTTTGTTTCTGGCCTTTCTTATCTGAATACTCTTCTCCAAAAAAACATAAAGGTGGCTTGAATCTCATGGTTCCACTCAACTAGAAATTTTTTGTTGGAGGAGGGCTCCTTCTGTGGAAGAAAGGAGGCTCTCCTCCAAAGAAAGCTTCTTCACTTAGCAGAAGAGAGCCATTGGAGTAGCCCAGGTTTTTTGTGAGCAGCTGAAATGTTTATGAGTATTCCATAACATGTCAGCAGCTGAGCGAGTGGCTAAGGAGGATTGATTTTTTAATGATCTGAAACCACAGCACTTGGAGCCAGAAGCAACAGGGATTTTCCTGTACCTTCATGTTGCAACTTCTGTCTTGTCTAGTGGTACCTCTTCCCTTCCAGGGTTTTACAGCCTTTTCAGATAGGCAGAAGTACACGGCTTTAAACTGCCTGGTCCTGGACTTGTTTACTCAGAAGTAAACTTCCTCAAAGGCTCTAGGATTGGGCTGTTAGTTTCTTTTGTTTAGGAGAAAGCCTGGAAAAGCCACATGAGTTTGATTGTCTTTTAAAAAATATATCTATAACAACTGTGAGCCAGTTTTCCTACTCCACATAAGTAGGTCAAAGTGTGATGCAAAGGTACATGAAGATAACTGTTCTAAGAAATAATTGGCTCATTCAACTTGATAGCATAATATTTTTACAAGGTAATAAGATTAAAGCATAGGAGCTGCGGTGGCTCAAGTGGTTAAGACGCTGAACTGCAGGCTGTGGAAGGTCAGTAGTTCAGCGGTTCAAGCCCCGGGTGCCGCAAGACAGGGTGAGCTCCTGTCTCTAGTTCCAGCTCCTGCCAACCTAGCAGTTCGAAAGCAAGAAATTGCAAGTAGATAAATAGGGACCACTTCGGTGGGAAGGTAACTGCGTTCCGTGTGCCTTGGTGTTTAGTCATGCCGGCCACATGACCACGGAAACGTCTTCAGACAGCGCTGGCTCTTCGGCTTTGAAACGTAGATGAGCACCGCAACCCTAGAGTCGGATTCGACTGGCTTTCGAGCAAGGGAACCTTTACCTTTACCTTTAAGATTGAAGCAGGTCAAGCCTTATGTACATGTTTAAATTACTCTCCTTTATTTAGACAATGAAGAAATTTTTCCCATCGTATCCGAAGAGATGGAACTGCCGTCTGACTTGATGGCTGGAGAGGTATTTATTATGAGAATATTGTTTCTTGTATAATTGCATACACTCTTTTTAAAAGGTGTGTATTTAAGGCCAGTTTTCAGGAGAAAATGAAACTAATGAGCTTTTCAACCCCTTCAGATGTGGACCAAGACATTTTGCACTGGCATTTTGAAGTATTATTTCTACTGTGCAAACAGAGATACACCCTCCTCAGCCCATTGGCCTCAGGGGGCCAAGAAGGGCACAATTTAGTTTAGGATTCCACTGTAAACCCCATCCCAAGATCCCCATCACACATCGTATTCTCACAGTCTACTTGGGCACTAATTTGCAGAGGCAAGTTTCAGAGCTGGCGGACTTTGCTGGCAAAAGACAGTAGGGCTACAACTGCTGGGGGTTTTCAAGTCAAAGCTCCATCCTTGCATTACAGTACAAGCAGAGCACCCAGAATAGTAGGATCTTGTTTCACGTTACTTGAGATCCTTTCATTGGTGATGTGAAGGACTGGAGCTGAGAACCTCTACCTACGTGCAGACCAGTTATTCCAGCCACTGAACTGTGCTTTCATTAAGGCTGTCATGATACCACCTCTCATTTGATCTGCAGCAATCACTGCTGATCACAGGACGGGGGGGGGCGGCATTCAAACATAGCCCATGCTGCATGGTAAATATTGCAGTATTGACATTGTCTCCCCCCTCAATTCCACAGGAGTGTCAATGCAAGAGCCCGATAAAAGAAAATAAGCAGGAAGTGAGCCCACCAGAAGAGCTTCACAAAGGTAAATATATTTTTGAGGACTGTAATCTGGGAGAACCGGGTTTGATTCCCCACTCCTCCACTTGCAGCTGCAGGATAACCTTGGGCAAGCCGTAGTTCTGACAAGAGCTGTCCTTGAAAGAGCAGTTTCTCTCAGAGCTCTGTCAGCCCCATCTACCTCACAGGGTGTCTGTTGTGGGGAGGGGAAGGGAAAGGAGTTTGTAAGCCACTCTGAGACTCCAAGTGAAGGGCGGGGTATAACTCCAATCTTCTCCTCCTCCTCCTCTTCCTCCCCCCAGTATTTGTGAACGCAAAATAAATGTCAGAGAACTTAGATGTCAAATAACTTTTGCTAGATGCAAAATAACTTGTGTTAGCAATACTTCATCCTACAGTTCAGCTCCAAAATTTTCAGATTACCTAAGTAAAGTCAATGGCAAGCAATTACATGGGTGGCAAGAAGCCGGCTAATCCTCATTTGAGACTAACAGGCTGCTTGGCTGTTGTGGAGATACAAGAATGTGGGTCTGCTGTACTTTTCAGAGTATCTGAGCTCGGTTGTGTTTCTTGTTAAGAACATAAGCAGAGCCCTGCTGGATCAGACCACTGAGGGTCCATCTAGTCCAGCTTCCTGTCTCACACAGTGGCCAACCAGTTCCTCTGGAAGGGCCAACAACAGGGCACAGAGGCCAAGGTCTTCCCCTGATGTTGCCTCCTGGCTCTGGGATTCAGCGGTTTGCTGCCTCTGAACATGGAGGTTCCCCTCAGTCACCATGGCTAGTAGCCATTGATAGACTGATCCTCCACGAATCTGTCTAATCCCCTTTGAAAGCTGTCTGTGCTTGTGGCCATCACTGCATCCTCTGGCAGCCAATTCCACATTTTAATCACTGACTGTTGGTGATTCCTGGCTCAGGATGTTAAGCTTTCTTCTTCCATTACACTTAAAAATACTCTTATTATAGTGTCACATATTTTCAAGGCAATCTTTCCGATGTGTTCTCTAAACTGTACGATATGTGACAAGTGTTCAAAATTTGCAGCACTCTTCCTGTATTAGAGACATTTTTAGAACACCCCCTCTACTTTACTCAGTCAAGGTTAAAAGGAAGTTGTTTAAAAGACAAGACATGTTTTCTGTCAGCAGTGAGTGTGCATAGCAGACACTAAGCTGAATAGTCCCAGACTCCCAGGAATGTAAATTCCTTGTTGCTGTTTGAGAGGCTGAGATCGAACTCTGTAGCGCTTAAAGGCCGAAAGTTTCTTTTTATGAGTCCTTAATGTAGCAGCAATGAAGGGAACTGTGTACACATTTTTAATTTCCTTTAATGAACCTGCTTTTCACAGGGAACTCTTAGAATAACACCAGATGCTAGTGGCCTTCTATCATTTACAGTAAGGCATTACAGCAAATCAGAATGTCAGACATTTTAAAGTGAAGAAGGGCAAGTAGGAGCCATCAGCTTCCCGTCCGGCATTCAGTTTCCCAAGCCAGAGCACTTGTCTTCCGAGCCAGTGAGTGGCCAAGGGTGCTGGTTCAGGGCCAAAACCTCTCCTGCTCTTTGTGCCAGGGAGCAAGGGGTTAAGAGCCAGTTTGCTGTGTGGAGGAAGTCAGTCTGCAGAGCTGCTGCTGTAAACACAAATGAAGGTGGCAAAAAAGGCAAGCGTGGGGGTGGGGGTGGGGGGTGGGAATCTTATTCTGCCCTGCTTTAGTCGTTGCCACAAGAGAGGTAAAATTTCCTGAAATTTGAAACTACAGAAGGGGGACGCTTTTTTCACAGGGGAAAAAAATGACAATTTTGGGGGAAATTGGATGCAACGCTTGCTTTTCTTTCAGGGCTCAATGACTTTGCTGCTTTCAAACATAAAATGCACCATGTGTATAAATTGAGGGGTTCCCATGTTTGTCTGTAGCAGTAGAAGAGAGCAAGAGTCTAGTAGCACCTTAAAGACTAACCAAATTTGTGGCAGGGGAGGAGCTTTCTGGAGTCACTGTGTGACTCATTGCAGTGACCCTATCCTACCAGAAATTTTGGTTAGTCTTTAAGGTGCTACTAGACTCTTGCTCTTTTCTACGGTATATAAACTGTGCATATAAAATTGACAGATTTAATTTTCTGCAAGGACAGCTGCACATTGCTGCACCCTCTGCTATCTTAGCACATTTCATTCATTCCAAACGAGCAAACGTATTTCATAGGATTTCTTCAGTGTTCCCCCAAACTTTCTGCTTTCCCTTAGGAAAAATTAAATCCTATACATTTTGAGTGAGCGAAACCTTTTTTAAAAAATTAACTCATTTCAAAGGGGGGTGGAAAATGTTTCACAGAAGTTTTTTTTTTCCAGCGCTTCCAAAAAAATTTCATCAGAAAAATCTGGGGGAGTAAGCCCTCAGACTTTCATGGTATACATTTTTAATGAGCATGGCCAGCTCTACTGATTACAGACAAAGACCAGAACAAAAATATGTACAATTTTCTATGAGTGAAAATTTATTTTCAAAAGCATTTCACTCATTTCAAAGGAAAAAAGTCAAAATATTGTTTTCCAGTGGTCCACAAACAATGCAGTCCTAAGGAAGTGTTACACTTGTCTAAGTCCATTTAAATCAATGTGCTTAGTAGGGTGTAACTAAGATTGCGCTGAAAATTTCCTAGTGGTTTTTTTTTTTCTTCCTTTGAAAAACTGCAAAAATGACCCTGGGTTGGAAGTTCCCCCCTGAATTTTTCTGTCCCCCCCCTCCCCTCCCCCCGGCTTGGCCTTTGCATCTCTAGGTGCACCAGAATTTTTTCTGCTACATTGTGGTTCAAAAACAAAACAGTGATAGGAACTGTAGTTCCTTAGGAAGGATGCATAAGAATCCACTCCTCCAGCACTGGCTGTCACCAGTGAGAGGTGACGCTGAGTTTCCAAAAGGGGCTTGGATGCAGAACGTGGAAGAAGCATAGAGAGAGCAATCCTAGAGAAACACCTGGCTCTTGGTTTCCAGCTTGATTTGGAATATCCATCAGTCTCTGCTTGGTATGCCTGCTGGATGGGGGGAGGCCGGCCTGCTCCCAGCAGTGACAAAAGGTGACACAGTCTGGTGTGGGTGTCGCCCTGATCCGAGGAGCATATTGTGAAATCAGTAGCATCGGGGCACTGCTGTACCCCTTTGACTCTAAGCTTGTATTAATCGCCAGCAGGTAACAGTTTGGGAGAGGTCCCTGGGGTGGCAGCCTCTGCCCTAGTGTGTTGCAGTACGAAAGAATGGGATCGGATGCCAGAGGGCCCTGGGAGTATAAGGAGCTATTGATAGTAACTGTCAGTAAGAGGCTGGAAGAGACCTCTTGCACAGAAGGTACCACTATTAGCAGGACAGTTCCACAGGGGTCCCAGTTAACAGTGTGAACCCTCTGGATGTTCCATGCAAATAAATGGCTTACGATTGCCATTACTGTTCCATGTGTTTACACTTTTGTGTTCTAGCCCTTGAAGCTTTGGAGACCACCAGCGTAACTGAAGCAACGGAAGTCCCATCTCCTGAAGAAAAGTCGCTTGAGGTTTGTGTTTGCCTTTTCCTCTGTTTTTGTGTCTTGGCTGAAGAACAACACGAGAAAGAACTCTGAGCTGCTTAAACTGTCAGTCTCCTGACTCAGTGTTTGGAACTCGAAATGAGATGGGAGATTTTTTTTCAACGACTCCTGTAACAGCCATGTGGCCTTTTAAAAAGGACTGTGCACTTTTCTGAAGAAAGGCATGTGACACCAAGGGCAGAGAGTGACTGGTTCAGTTGGTGGTACCTGGGGAAAGACACTCTACCGTATTGTTGCTCGGGAACGACAGCCACAAAAATGGGATGGCTCATTCCTGAGGAGGAGGAGGTTCCGGTCTCCGCACTTGCTACCACCTCGCAGGCAGGTTCTGGGTGGGCTTTGGAGGCAGAGTTCTCATAGCTACAGAAATGCTGAAGTGACATGTCCCCTTTGTAGTTTGACTCAGGAAACCCATTGATCTCTGCCAGCTGGGCAGGGATCGCAATGTTGTCAGCAGCAGGGGGGGGGAGGTAAAATATGGTGGAGGGGCCAGCCGTGATGGAGTGGTGCTCCCTGTAAGCTTGGTGGTAGAAGGGCACAGCCATGGGCTATTGATGCTGTGCAAGTTAGGGTTGCCGTCCAGTGGATGGCACCCAGCTGAAGGCTGGGGGGCAGGGACATGGGGAAGGGTGCCATTGTGTTGATGGTATGATGTCACTTCCTGGTTCTCCCTGGAAATGATGTCCTCCCAATGCAATGGCGGGGGGGGGGGTTCTACATTTTCCCCCCTGTCAGCCTGCCAAGCAACGGTGGGGGTCCATGGGTGTTGCCGGCCAGAGATCGCCCACTGTAGTGGGGGACTTGGCAACTGTAGTGCTAGCGCATCCTTGTTCCAAGTGACATCCCTGTGCATCTGGGAAATATGCAGTGAGGAAGGGCTTTCATGTCCTCCGTGAAAGCAGCAGCTTCTTCTAGAAGAGTCCGTAGGGCCTCTCTGGCCATCTGGCAGTCAGCCGCACCATCAGAGCCGACCATGGCTGGATCCTTTTGGTTCTGCCATCTCCCAGGGAGGGCAGGGCCTCCCTGACTATGTAGAAGAGAAGAAGAAGAGGTTGGATTTATACCCCGCCCTTCACTACCCAAAGGAGTAACAGCCTGCTATCCCACTAAAAGCAGCTGAGGAATATTGGTAGTACTAACACATGCCTCCATTTTGTACATCGCTTTGTAAACTTTGCAAGTTGAAAAGCGACTTAATACATATATCCCACAAATAAAATCTGGTTAGCTGCTCTTGGAAACTAAAGTGCTGGACTTAGATGGACCTTGGTCTGTTCTTGTGGTCTTCTGATCGCCTGTCCTCTTGTTAGTTGCAGGTAGAAATACCTGATCAGGAGGAAGAAACGCGAGACTGCCCTCCAGCTACGGGACAGGGCGACTCAGGTAGTCGATACGCAACAAGCGCTCTTGCATTACTGTCTCCGATAGCGAACGTTGGACTAGATTTGCATGGCAGGGCTCGTAGGTCAGCTTGGCCTTAAGGAAGTGATTCTCAACACTTCAGTGCTCTTGCGCAGAAGTCTTTGGGGGGAACCCTTTTGAATCAGTGTCGACATTGCTTTCCAGACAGCGGCCCGGTGGTGTCTCAGATTCGGGGAGAGGATGCTGAAGAGGGCCAGGGTCTCGAAGTCAAAGGAGAAGCCCAGGTGGAGTATTCTTGAATTGTTTTCATCTGTGTGACGTCTGAATTACATTGGGGAGGTCAAAGAGAGATGTGGTGCACTCTCAAATGGCCGAGGGCTTTTGCCAGTTACAGATTTAATTTACACGGTGAGGTTTTAAACTGCTTCGTATATTACCACAAGCACTTCAGTTGAAATGGTGACCATCGGCCCACATTTGTGGCACTTTGGTAGCCTAACAAGGGAGGGGAGAGGAGAAGCACCCATCTCTTCCAGATGGCTTGATCTTAAAAAAAACGTATTGGGGGGGGGGGGGAAAGGGGGGGGGAGGAAGTGGCTGTGCTTGGTGACACTGGCTATTCTTCCTACCCCTCCCGTCCTTTAAAAGCTACCTAAGAACACCAACCCTGGCTTCAAACATGAAGCTCAGCCTTTAAAGAAACACATGTTCCAGCAGTTTATGAAGCAGCATCAGGGGAGGGAAGTGTGTTGCCGGCAGCATTGGTGAGCTGACCAGTAGCATGTGAAGTCCTTGCATTAAAAAGCAGCAGAGTTTTAATGCTTGTTGGCTAAATGAGCTACCAACATTCACTGACCTCCCTGTGAAACCATCTGGCAGGAGCGTTTGGCAGTCCTTCTCACTCCTTGGCTTTGTGGGCCATTCACAAGTCCCTGTTGTCTTTCCCTGCCTCAGAGGCTTTGCCATAGTCCTGTTCCTTGCGTTGGTAACCTGCCCCGGGAATGTGAATGGAGTGCCGATCGCTTGAGATGGTTTGGTTCCTTGGCTTGGCTTATTGATGATGTGTGTTGTTGATCTGGTTTCTTTGGAGTGGATTTTCAGACACAGGGCCAAAGCAAAGCTGGATTTCTGACCTAGCATCCCCTCTCACTTCCGGGGATAACGTGAGACATTAGCTGCTGAAGTCCCTCCGCATTCCAAATCCTGGTGTTGCAGCCTTATCCTCCAGGGTTCCCCCAGAGGGGCTTCTAAGTTTCAAGAGGTTTCTCTTCCGGCTTTGCTGTCTGCATCGTTACACATGTGAGTCTGGCAGCGCCTTAGAGACCAGCCAGGGCTTCGGGGTAGGAGCTTTGGAGAGTCAGATCTCTCGACTTGGACTCTGGGAAGCTTCTGCCTCGAAACTCTAGGTGGTCTCCAATAAGGTGCTCCTAGACTCAAATCGAGCTGTTCTGCCGCAGACCCATTCGGCTCTCCCTCCGAAGCGATATTGTCTGCATTTGACACACAAGATTCACGAGAGGCTCCTTTGCCCATCTTTTCTCCTCCCCCCCCCCCCCCCCCCCCATATATGTTCGGGATTTTCTCCCTTCTGCTTGCTCAGAATGTGTCAGCTTATCATCCTTCGTGGCTCCCTTGCCATTACCAAGACTAGTGTCTGGTCTCCCTGGTTCACCAGCCTTTCAAAAAACCTAGCTAAGGTCTGCGGGTGTGTTTTTAATATATAATATATAACCCTGAGTATCAAACAAAACCCTTTCACTCCCACAAACCCGTTCTCTTTCCTAGCTCTGATCAGAGGGGAGAGGTAAACATGAAAGAAGAAGAAGAAAAAGATCAAGAAATAAAACAGAAGAGGGAGGGGGGTTGAATCTTATCCCAACAGATAAATTAAGTTGCACATCCTGTTTCTTTCCTTTCCTTTCCTTTCCTTTCCTTTCCTTTCCTTTCCTTTCCTTTCCTTTCCTTTCCTTTCCTTTCCTTTGGCTGGTGTCAGGTCAGAACTGACTGATGGCTGCCCCGCAGGGTTCTCAAGGCAAGAGACGTTCAGGGGTGGTTTGCCCTGGCCTGCCTCTGCGTCATGGCCCTGGTGGTCCCCTTTTAGCTTCTGAAATCTGACAAGATGCAGCTCTGCAAATTCAGCCTAAATACATTTCCTGCCTGCCATCCCAGCCGTGTAATGCTGTTTCTTCCTTCACTGCCAGATCCAATAGTTCTGACCAGGTTCCTGCCCATAGTGGAATGACAGTTTTCTAGCACTGCAGGATAACAACTGATTGTGCTTCACAGTTAGCCTCAGACCCGAGGTGTCCTAGAGGAGGCTGTCTGCCTTTTACAATCCTCTCTGTGCTTCAGCTTCTCATTTCATCAGCGGGGGGAAGGGGGGAGAATTAAGGAGCGTTTCTGTAGGCATTCCACATGGGAGGCACGAACTTGATGGATGTGAATGTTGTCATTCAAAGTGAAGTTCTTTTTAGCGGATGAGTCATTGGGTCTCAGCCCAGCTCTCTAATCTCCTCGGTCCGTGTGCGTGGGGCACTCAGGTGGAATCTGCTTTGGGGGTTACTGGGGGATTCTACCCTTCAAGGCTTTGAGTGATGCTTGATTTGCATAAGGTGACAATATAAGATCAAAGGGATGATTGGTTTCTTTGGTACAACATTGCTGGTCTATTTTTAAATTCCTTAGGAAGCTGCTGCCAGAGATTCAGGAAAGGTGCCTGAAGGTGGTGTGGAGATTCAAGAACCATCATCGGTGGCTGTAGAAGAAAAAGGTGATTTTGGATTAATTTGCCATTTTAAGCTTTGCACCCCAAACCTCTACTGTATGTATTTCAGAATGGGGATTTGTTCATTTCAGAATGGGGATTTGTTCAAATTCTTGTGGTGTTGGGTTTTGTTTTTTTTTAATCTCTTTAGCTTTAAATTTAAATGCCAAGCTCACCCAGAGAACAGAAGGGGGCTGAGCGGAACAGAGTCAGGGGTGCCTCCGGCAGATGAGGAGGAGTGTCACTGTTCTCCCTCCTTGCCCCAGATGCCCAGGGAAGCACATCGCGTAGGCTCTGGGGGGTGGGTGGGAGGCTGAAGACGCGGGGGGGTGGGGGGGGAGCATTTCTTCTCCCAGCTACCTTTCCCACAGAAGCACAGGTGGATGCAGTGCCAGTTTAACCGCTGTAAATATTCAGAGCCTGAACACCACAGGTAAATGATATAATAAATGTTGAATAACTTACGGCACCAGCAAATTCGCTGATGTTTATCTGGATTGTCCCAGCAGTAGAAATGGATAGGGGGTGTCCTGCCAATGAAAGCCAGGGTTTATACAATGCAGAGGAAGTCACCATTTGTTTATGCAGGCACTCAGAGATGATGAGAAGCAGTGAATGCGTTCCTCTGAATCTTTTTGTTTCCCCCCACAGATAATGCTGCTGGCAAAATGGAGGTTTGTGGAAAACCAGATCTGGAGTCCAATTTAAATCCTGTTGAGGCAAGTTGACCTGGTTTGTTCTAATTCACCGCTGCAGCACGGCCCACCTTATAGCTTGGCCAGTCAGGAATAAAACTCTTTCCACCAACATGGAAATAGCAGTTTTCAAAAAAATTCTGCAGGGCAGCTTCATCAGCTAAATCAATAGCCACGCTGTTCCAAAACGTAGCCCTTAAAAGCAGGAGAGAAAAAAATGGAATTTTAACTCCAGGTCAGATGTGCGTCCTTTTTTACTATGCAGAAGTGTTGGCAGAGTTCTGATAGACGTTCATGCTGTGATCACATCACAGTTAAACTGTAGCAAGCCTCTGCCTGCAGCTGCCTTTGAAGACAGTTGGGAAACTCCAGATGGTTCAGAATGCAGCCATGACACCGCTAGCTGAGTAGGAGTATCGCACACACATCACTCGAGTGTTGAAAGAGCTTCACCGGATAGCCAATGCAAAGTGCTGTTATTTACCTTTCGAGACCCAACTGGTCTGGGTTCAAGGTCTCTCATGTAAAATCTTCTCCAGAGGCCCTGCTGCGTCTGCCCCTGTCTTCAGATGTGAAGCAGGCAGCTACGAGAAACCCCATTTCCCTTATGGGTCTCCCTCCCTGCGTCCCTTCGGAGGCAACCGTGGAGCTGAAATCTCTGTCTTCTTCCCAGAGCAGAGGAGCACAGTTTCCAGATTTCTCCTCAAGCGGCAGAACCGTTCCCAAGGATCTCCTGACCACGGAGAGCAGCTTTGAAGGGACACAGAAGGCTCAAAGGGAAGGGGGGGGGAGACCCATGGAGGGAACATCTTCAGTTCATAAGATCCTCCCCAGCTGTCTTTAACAGTGATGTCTCTGTGACCTCCCTTGCTTAATCATTAAGCCTGCTGGACACTCAGTGGAGACTTCCCACACCCAACTGCCCTCTTTTCCTCCTGTTGTGTTTAGGTGAACCCACAAGTACCAGTTAAACGGAAAAGAGGAAGGCCTCGTAAATATCCACTGCCAGGTAAGCCTGACGCCACATCTCCATGGCAAGCAAACACAGCCATTGCATTCAGCTCAAGAGGTTTGTTTTCCTTTCAGGTCAAGATCCAAAAGCTGACCCAAGAACTGGGAATGTAAGTATTTGTCTTGTTATCGAAATGCATGCGTGTTGTGAGAGTTCGTTTTTCTGTGCAGCACTGTTTTTAATTTTTTTCTCGAACTGCAAGATGAAACACACTGCCCAAGACCCGTTAACCCAATTTATTTATGTCTTTATTTGCGTCCTTCATTTATACCCTGCTTTTCTCCCCATTGGGGGTCCCAAGCAGCTTGCATCATTCTCCTCCCCTCCATTATGTCCTCACAACAACTCTGCGAGGTAGGTTAGCTGAGGGTGTGTGACTGGTCCAAGGTCACCCACCAAGCTCCCATGGCAGAGTGGGGATTCGAACCTGGGTCCCCGAGCTCTTAGTCCAGCACACTAACCACCACAGCCACACCAGCTCTCTTAAGCACAATGAGCTTTGGGGGGGGGGGGGGCTCAGACAGCAGCTCCCTACTGTGTCAGTGGGAAACAGGGTTTGGAACCTCCATCCGTTCCCTTTAGCCAAGTCCTCAGTGGAATCAGTCAGGAAGGATTTCTCCTAGGCTTAGTGCAGGTCCCTTGCAGAAGCTGAAGCAGCCCTTCCCTGGGCTCTTTCTTCAGGTCGTGCATGTTAAGGGCCTGCTGTGCTCCTCATGCAGCCAGTGGTGGGACACACGGGGCAGCGCCCCCCTGTCAAATTTGATGCCACCCCACCCACCCCCACCGCACTTTCCCTTTAATTTAATTTTGTCTCCTGGAGACAGGTTCACAGAGATGGATGGGAGGAAGGAGAAGGAAAGGGGGGGGTGGCGAGAGGAAACAGCTGCTAGGATTTCACAGCATTCAAAGAGAATCGTGAATAGACTTGCCTTTTGCTCCTTTAGGATGGCTTTTTTTACTTTAATTTTTTTAACTTTAAAATTCAAAGTCAACAGTTTATTACGGTCATAAGACCAGCCTCAATAGGTACAGTTAAAAAGGACAATTTATAATTTTTAAAATGGACATATACATAAAAAGTGAAAAATGTGTGTGTATGTATCAAAATAGTAAAAAAAAAAAAAAAAGCACACTCCATTAATTTATTTCCCAGCAACTGACGTTTCATTTGTCAAGTGATTCCACTTTCTGAGTGCCATCACACAGAATTTTGCTACTGTGTATGGTATAGTTCTCTGGCTATCATCTAATAGATATACCCAAAGGATTTCAGGACTAAAATCTATATAATGCTGTAGTGGTTTAAATCTACAGAGTAACGGAATAATTAGTTGTAGCCTTTCTTCTTGATAAAATTTGCAGTGCAAAAGTATATGTGTGGTAGATTCAACCACTTTATTTGAACAGGGACAGCAACGCTGCTGCAAGGGCAGGTGGGAGAATCTCCCATAAATAACTGCAGAGGAAAATGCATCTAACTGTGTTCTAGAGATCCGAAAGATATGGGGATATAGTGTAGCTCAGTCCTTTTCTTAAGCTTTTATAGTTTAAAGGAAGTATTGCTTCATCATTTTGGGATTCTATATCAGTTAATCTTTGGGTGATTAAAGCTTTTGCATTGTTGAGTCCGAGATCAAACAGGCCTGCTGGGTTCAAACCAATCAGCTTAATTTTATCAGCTATCTCTGAGCACCATGTTGGATAAGGGTCAGAAGCTAACAACAGGGGGATTAAGCCCTTTGGATCTAGATGTATTTTTATCCAGTAATAGATGACATGTTCCCAGATTTTTAATTCAACTCTGGGTAAACCAGCTTCCTGCCTAAGAATGACATTAGTACATCTGGGTGCGTTAAACAGAGATCTAAGAAATTTTGATTGGACTGTTTCTAAAGTCTTAACATTAGCAGTTAGTACAATTTGCAGTCCATATAAGAGTTGAGCTAATGATTTTGTTTGTAATAGTTTCAGGGCTGCAGGTGTAAAGCCCGCACCTTCTCTTCTGAAGAATCTAAGGCATTTGCGCTCTTTTCTGCAGCATTTAACTTTAATTTAATTGGCTTTGGGTTTCCTGTGCTGAGCAAGGGGTTGGGCTCAATGGCCTATAAACTCCCCACTCTAGGGCTTTGGGGTCAGCCAAGTTTTCTCCCTGCCTTACCTCATCCTGGTGTTGACTGTAACTGGCCTAGAGCGCAAGAGCTGGTTGATGCGTGTGTAAACAGTTCATGATTTCTCTGCGCTTGGTTATTGGCAGCTGAAGGTGTAAACCAACCCAGTTGAAAAGTGCTTTAAAAGATCTGTCCGTGGTGTTAGTCCTTCAATGGCCCATTCACATGTGCCAGTCATCACTTGATGCTGTGGTCATTGGCTAATGACCGTACGTGTGTGTGTAACCAGCCTCATATGCAGCTGCGAAGTATTGTCCATAGAAAATGAATTTTGGAGAACAGTCCAAAGTAAGCTATAATAAAGATTGGTCTTCCTAAATGCTTGTGTCTGACCTGAAGCTAGCAGACTCTGGCATTAGTTCAAGAGGCAGAATTTGCCTTGTACTGTTAGCATCTTTAGAGCCCAATCCAAGTATTTAAAGTTCTTCAAGTGCAGGATCTTGGGAAATCTGTAAAATCAGTCTTGAAAGGTGGGCTGGTATAATTACCCTTGTCAAGTGCATGAGAACAGAAGCATAAAGGGATGTCTTAAAGCTGCCTCATGAGTTTGTGGCTGGAGTGAGATTTAGACCAGGAATTGCCCAGCTTGTGAAATTTATCTTGGATTTACCTCTGTCTTAAAACTGTACCAAAACATGGTGGCCTAGCTTTAAATACAGTGAATGCAGCCCTATGTCTGTGTGTGTGTTCGGAAAAAGAACCACAATTGGCTGTGTCTCCCTATATACTTCCTATATGTTCAGAGGCAAAGGCAAATTTGTTCCCACACAATCTGCGAAACAGCTTTTGATTATCAGATGCATTGTAATAAGGTGAAATGAACTGCATGTTAGATTTTTTCCCCCTTTTATTTTCCCTTATTTCCCGTAGCTCTTTGTGTCACTTGTATTTGTAATGTCTTGATTCCATTTTTACTAAATAACAAATCATTGTTATTTTTATAGTTAAATAATAATTCCCAAACATTGTTTTTAATTAAATGAAGCAGTCTTCAAGTCCTAAGAATAAAGAGAAGACTCCTCCTAAAGGTAAGGGTTCATATTGTTCTTCTCTTTGCAAAGGAAGACAGAGAGAACAGAGCAGAAGAGAAGTGTCCCCTCATGTAAAGGGTTGCTGCTTCAGAAGTTCAGACTTTACTATAAGCTGGGGGTCCCTGAGCTTTTTGAGCCTGGGGGTGCCTTTGGAATTCTGACACCGCATGATGAGCGCAGGAACAAAATGACTGCTGAAGGAGTTGGAGGCAGCCACAAAATGGCGGTGGCAGCTTACTGTCACCCACACAGTGAAGATCCTTGCTTGGTGGGGGCAGCTGTTGCCAAAGCAACATTTTGTGAAATCTGCAGAGACAGTCAGATACCCAGTGGCCAATCAGAAGCCTTGCTGGGCAAATGCCTTACCTGGCCCCACGCACTTCTTAAAAACACTTGGCTGGGCCCAGAAAAGGTGTTGGTGGGAGTGATGGCACCCCCGGGCATCATGTTGGGAACTCCTGCTATAACCTCACCCATTTGCAGAGATCCATGATAGCTGTAGTGCAAGGCCCTCCCCATTCTCTTCAGCTGAGGGCAAACTTCTTTTGTGTGGCTCCCTGAAATGTCGTAGACCGTGATCCAGGGGGTCTGATTCTCCCACATTTCACTTCCGTTAGCATTTGACGACTTAGATCTGAACAGCACAGGATCTTCTGTGGAATGGTTCTTTCCCAGACCGCCCTGCTGCTGTTTGAATGAAGCAGATGTTTCTTACATGATGCTTCCGTTAGAGATAGCCCCATCAGCTACCTCTCCACACTTGATTCCATTCCAGATCTTAGTGTTTGCAGCTGACATTGAGGGTTCAAATTTCCTAATTTTCAAGAAGCGCAAAGTCATTTTCAGATTGCCTTTAGCTTACATCTCTGCCAGAATAAACCTCTGTTTTGCTTTAGTGTGCGATAGGGAGGTTTAGAAAAAGTTTTCGGGAGGGGGGATCCTTTCTTTGATCGATGTTACTTGATTACCTTAAATTTTAGTTAAGATTTTTATGAACTGGTTAATAAAACTCTAATACAATGTGACCTGTAGAGTTGCAGTTATGTAGTGTTCTTACACTCCTCCTTCCTTTTTAGTTGAAAGCACACCGCGTGGGGACAAAAAAGGCCACGTAAGTGCCATTACCTTCAGCGGTGGTATCTGTACCTTGAGTGTAAACGTGTTACCTAGGAACCAAGGGCTGGATCTAGAGCAAAAATTGTGCTGGCACCACAGCTCCTGCAAGGAAAAGACCACAGCGGCCCCTTTTGCCAAGTCAGGCTCCTTGTGTCCTCACTTGCACTTCTGCTTGCTTGCTCAATATCCTCTGCATTGCTGGACACTATAATACAGTAGGAGCAAAGCACTGGGTGCTGTACAAGATCTTGCGCAGGCAGGATTGTACAAAGTCTATTTCTGTGTCCACTTGCATGTTGTTGGATCCAGGCTCACACCTTGTTAACGCCAGTGAAGTTATTTCGGGAAGGTTTTGCACCCTTTCCCCTGAGATTTGTTCCATAAGAATCACCTTGTTGGCTCCAGCTGCAGTCCGTCTAGCCCAGGTTTGTGACTCCCAGCGTGGATCAGCCACAGGTGCTCACAAGCCAGGTGAAGGTGGAGCAGGCCCTGCCATTTTTTTGGAGCTTATAAACTTAGGTAGATTGTGCTTGAACATGGAGGCTCCATTTTAGCTATGGTGAGTGACAGGGCTGTAGTGGGGGTGCCTTCTAGTTCTGTTTATTTATTTAACTCCCTTTGTATATCACCTTTCTCCCCAGTGAGGACCCAAAGTGATCTGACACCTCACAACAAGCCTGTGGGGTAGGAGAGGCTGTGAGAGTGCAAGTGGCCCAAGGTCACCCAGCGAGCTTCCATGGCCCAAATGGGGATTCAGACCTGGGTCTTCCAGATATTAGTTTGACACTCTTAACCACTGCCCCGCACTGGCTCTCACCAGTGTTACTGGAACATAAAGTAAAATTGGCTCTCGGGAGTAGGACCGGAATGCTGAAAACCGGGAGGCAGGTTTCTCCTCCCTTGCCAACTACTAGGTTTCGCATCTGTGCTCATGGATTCTGGGTCTATCACTGATGAACTTGCCTTATCTCCCCCCCCCCCCCCCAAATGCTAACTCGGTGGTGCCTCCTGCCAAATCTTGTGGTGACAAATTCTATGACTGTTTCTTTCTTCCTCTGCCTTAAAGCCATTGCCGGTGTCACTGGGTGAAGCTGAGTTCGGAACATGATGAGAGGGGAGAGGTCCTCCTGTCTTCATGTTTGGCGCTGTCTTGCAAGTGTTCAGAGCTTTTTGGCTTAGAGGAAAATGTCCGTTCTGTCCTCTTTGTTTCATTTCCTTCCAACTGATAGGAAGCTGACGAAGGGGAGGTGGAGGTGGTGGTGGTGCGTCGAAGAGGAAGGAAGCCCAAACGGCCTCTTATTCCATCCCTGGAAACGGGTAAGGCCTGGGACTTTGCTTCTTTTGACATTTTTTTTTTATTGTTTAAGGTGTACGCTAACTGAGAACAAGATTAGTTTTATTATTCTTTCACATTCACAGGGGGAAAATCATTGGGTTAGGGCTAAAGTAAATATTATGTAAAAAAAATGTGCAAATCGGTGTAATTTCATGTCAGGATTGGTACATCCCAGCTGCTTCCCTAGTTTTCGATGACTTCTGGCTGTGAACTAAAGAAGTAAACTGTTGCAAATGTGTTTGGAGAGATTAAGTCAAACAAGTGTGAGTTAAAACGCGAAGGAAATGGAAAATTACTCATTCCACTCCCAGGGTCCATCTAGAACTCCCCTTCTAAAATAAGTATGTCCTTGGAGACTGGGGTGGAAATTTGAGCGTGTATATCAAATGTTGCAGGAACAGACACACCTGAGCCCGACAGAAAGCGTCAGAGGCTCGCACCTGCTGTGGAAGAGGAAAGAAAAGAGCAGGAGGAAGGCAAAGAGAGTGGCCCTCAGGCAAGAGCAGACAGTGGGGACGACGGCAGTGGCAGTGGCGGTGGGAGCGAGGAGATGCACGCGGGAGCCACAACGAGGGCAGCCTCCAGGCTGGAAGCTCAAAGGTAATGGAGGCCCTCCTAGACGCCGGCCGGGATCAGTGTTGATATTTGAAGTCTGTAGGCCTCCTCACCAGGGCTCAAAGCAGTTCACGGAAGAGACCGTAAAACCGGGTGTTTCAGTCGTGACAAAACTGTCAATAGACAAAGTCAACCAGAGAAGCAGAAACTGGCTCCAGAAGCCACCCAGAAAAAGTGGGACTTGCAGCCTTCCTAAAGAGCCACAGGGGAGGATACCCATCTCTTTTTTTGGGGGGGGGGGTGCTTAACCCTTCCCTCATCCACACTTTTCCTACTGTAAGTTCTGTACCAATGTTTCCCGAGCCGTGGGGGCGGGACCCAAAAGTGAGTCACAAAGCCTCTGAAAAGTGGGTTGTGGGCCCACCCTCCATGATGGCCGCCCCTGCCCTTTTCCATGGCTCTCTTTTGTATTTTGGAAACCAAGATCTGATCCTGGAGACATTAGTTGGTATTTTTTTCTTCACAACTTATATGTTGGTCAAGTAAAACGTGTCCCATTGGTTACTAGGGTGAGTTTCTTAGGGGGAATTGGAAGAGTGGAGAAGGAGAGGGTGGTCAAAGGCTGGGATGTCACCTCCATAACCAAAGGCTGTGTACTTCCGAATGCCAGTTGCTTCAGGTTCATAGTGGGGGCAGCTGTGCCCTTTGTGCAGTGTTTATTGGTTTCTCAAAACATCTGGTTGGCCACTCGAGAAAACGGGATGCTGAACTAGATGTGTGCCAAGGCCATAGTTTGCCTAGGGCACCAAAAATCCTTGGGGCCAACCTTAGATGGCTCACCATATCAAGTAAAGCTGGACTTGTGGGTCACCGTGCAAAAAAAGTTGGGAACTGCTGCTCAAGACACACTGTTCAAGAATAGACAGCAGCTTAAAAAGTTTAGCATCAGAAAAATGCTTTGGGATCCAAGCACAAGAAAGCACCAAATTATTACAGCTTGCTTCTGATTAGTCAGTCTCAAGGACCTTCCCCCCAAAAACTCCAGTGTTTTGAAGGCACAGACATTATTTTTTTTACACAACTGTCTCTAAATAACATATTTGCTGCATATTCTGTTATTTCTGCTTTCTAAAATGATCAATTAGAAATTACTTGCATTAAAAGCATTTTCCAAAATATACCTTAATAAACTTGGAAATGTGTGTGTTTTTCCCCCCAGACAGCAGCCCAGCAAACCAACAACCCGTGCAGCATCTAAAAACCAAAGCCCCGGTCCACTTTCTCCTACAAATCACCAGACATTTGGAGGGAAAAAGCGGCTCACCCAGGCAAAATCAAATAAGACTTCTCTCTTGGCTCTGTAAGTATGGAAATGAAAGCCACTTCTGGCTTGGATATGTTTAGATCTGTTTTAATTCCCTTCCCACTCTTCCCTTCCAATAGTATCTTATCTGTTGCTGTTGTTAATATGAACATGCTTCATTTGTGAACCACCTGCATCAGTATCTCAACCCACCCAACATGAGGGTTCAGAATGGTGCATTCTTTTCAAGAGCAAACTTTTTCTCCCTTTCCCAAAACACTGGAACTTGAGGGCATCGAATGAGTTTGATGGGCAATAGATCAGGATGGACAAAAAGAAATACTTCTTTACACAAGCGATTAAAATGTGGAATTTGCTTCCTGAGGATATAGTAATGGCCATAGGCATAGACAGCTTTAAAAGGGGACCAGACAGCCATGTGAGTAAAGAGACCATAAACCTCTGAATACCAGGGCAAGTTGGCAACATCAGCCTCCATGCCCTGTTGTTGGCCCTCCAGAGGAGCTGGTTGGCCACTGTGTGAGACAGGATGCTGGACTAGATGAACCACTGGTCTGATCCAGCAGGGCTTTCCTGATGTTCAGTTACAGATCTAAATAATTGATGGGGTCAGAGAACCAAGTAGAGTTCTAAATATGAAAGGCAGTTCCAGGTACAAACTAGGAACTCAAGCAAGGCTCAGTAGGAGTGGGGAAGAAGCAACGGAGGAACCGGTCAAAAATAGCATATTTGGATCTGTTTGATTTGTCAACTGGACTAATACTTAGGTCCTTGCTACTTGGTTCCAGCATTGTTTGCTGTCTTGAGTCTGAGGAGACAAGGTAGGGTAGAAATACTTTAAATGAATACGGAGGAGCTTGGGGGCGTCTCAGGACAGTGGGTGCAGCAACGGTCTCTAGGACCCAGGGAGGACCAGATGCAGGGAGTTTTGTGTACGTTTTCTCTTAAGCTGGAGTAGTGATAATTTTTGTCTATGCTTTGGTGTGTTCAGACATTTACTTGTTACAAGAAACCTGTAACATAGCAAGGCATTTCTAGGTGGATAGCCATATTGGTCTGAAGCAGTAGAACACTGGACTCAAGCTTTGTTCTATAGCAAGGTGTTATTATCCACACATTTCAGGAGAGCAGGAGATGAGCAGCTCACTCGAGTGACTTGTTGCAAGTTCTAAATCATAGCCAACGTCCCCGTCGAGAGGTCGCAGTCATAGGGATCATCTCAAGTAGGCTCTGCTTTGCAATGCCGGTTGATGCTCGGGGAAAGCTCTCTTGGCCCCTGAGAAGACTGGAAGGGGCCCTGGCCTCCCAAAGCCCTTATAAGTGATAGGGATCACTTCCTGGATTTTGTTGCACTGCCATGATGTGGCACTGTTGAAGGAACGCTCCTCCTGCCCTAGAGAAATATACGGTCTATGGCACCCATGGACACCTTTCCCTGGTACCCACCAGCTGTTGTAAGAAAATGGGTGAGGCCAGGTGTGACTTTTGCTCAGAAAGGCCATTGGAGATTTAATTGGTTGTGCGTATTTTTAAAAACATTCTCTTGGCCCAAGATCTTGTCAAAATTCTGGTTAAATCAGTTCCCAACACCATTCACTTCGAAGAGAGATAAGTTTATTGAGACATTGATAGATACCTGACTGGACACTACCTTTGTTAGAACTGAAGGTGAAGGCGCTAAGATTGCAGATATACTGTGTTCAAGCAAAGGTACTAAAGATCAGGATCCAATCACCCCGCGGCATTTGCCCTCCAGAAATAATAGTCGACTACCGCCCCCCCCCCACTAAGCATATACCCCTCTTACAGAAATAGAGCAGAACAACAGGTCTCTATGACGCACATCAAAACATTTAGGGAAGCAAAAGTATTTTGATTTTCACACCCCTCTCCCCCTCCCCCTTCCTCTATGGCAAGTGAACCATAAAATGCGTAGTGAGCCTGACAGCTGTGGTAGCCCTTTTGTGGCTGGCTCCACCTCTTGCAGCAGCTGTTTTGTGGCCGCTATTTTGTGCCTCCACTGAGCACACAGTGTCAGAGTCCCAACGTTCCTGCGGGCTCAAAAAGATCGGGGACCCCTGTTCTAGATAGTCTTTGGGTGTCGTTAAGGAGATAACAGAGGTAAGCATAATGAGACTGATGTAAGCAGTGACCCTTAACATGTGCTTACAGTTGCTCCTCTCCTCTCCTCTGGTATTCTGAGACTGGATTTGAGGTGGGGTTTGGTGAAATGACACTTCAAAAATGTTTAGAGCAGGGTTTCCAGCATGGGGGGGAGGGCAGCTCAGCACATGAGCACCGGCTAGAGGAAGGCAACTCTGAGGATATGAGAGCAGGAGGAAGGGGGAGGGACATGGAGAACTTTCAGGGGGAGGTGAGTTTGAGGACTCTGGTAGGTAGCAGAAGAGGGGCATTGCGAGATGTGAACAGCTGGAGAGTTGCATGGTGTTGGCAGGGAAAGGGAGGGAAGAAAGCTGGGGTGAGCGGAACAAAGGCCAGAGAAAAATTGCACAGTATCAATACATATTGATCCTCTCCCATGAGCAGCGGTTGAAGCTGGCTGAGAAACTCAGTGGCACTCTTATTAACCCCCCCCCCCCATCAATGGAGTGCCAAGCCCCCAGGCATATAATTCTCTGCTGGATTTTCAGTTTCCCTTCTTAGGGTGAAACATAAGCCTGAAAGTCTTCATTGGTTCTCTCTCCCCATGAAGAAATGTTTCACAAACATAGCGCATAGGGTTAAACAAAAGAAGGAAGTAAGGTAGAACTTAAGGATGTTTCTCTTCCATTGAATTTTTGAACTATAGTCCTGTTTCCGCAATTGGAATCGTTTGGTTACAAACTGACTCTTTTCAGCCAGTTCTAAGCAGCTCTTCTCCACAGTTTCACTCAATCAGACATACTCTTTTCCCTCTCAACTCCCTGGCTGCCAGCTCTCCACCTCTATTATAGTCTTATTTGCTGCTCAGATGGTGTGTATTTTTCCCCCTGGTTTTCAGTTCAAAGTTGCAGCCTACCAAGCGTAAGAGGGAAGACAGTCCCTCAGCATCACAGAAGAAGGGTCACCGGAGAACGGAGGAGATGGCAGTCAAAAAGGCTAAGCAGTAGACATCCTCACACCGAACGCAAACAGGAAAAGAAAGCAAGAAAAGGCCTTTTCTGTTTCTGTTTAAAACAAACCACACACCAAAAGCCAAGAGGTTTTGCATGTGCTTATTTTCCCAATGTGACATAATCAATGCAGAACCCTTATGTCATGTATTTTAAACAGCTTTCTAAACTCTTTGTTTATGCATAAGAGTATCTGCTCTGCAGACGTTTCCTTTGTATCTCAAGTGGAGAGTGTGAACAGCGACTTGCCAATGCTTCCAATCCACTCATCACCAGTGGCCTCTTAATTGACACCTTTTGTACATAAGCCATGTATAAAAAAAGTTGTATTTTACACTTTATTTATTTAACAGCAAAGACTGCTCTGTGAACTTTGTTACATTACCCTCCCATTTGTCATTTTAACCAGATTTTTAAATGTTGTGCCACTATCATGAGCGTTGAGTGGGACCTGGGTGCGAGGGGCATCTTTCAGCAGAATCCTACAGAGTGCCCTTTGGGCAGCTGGCAAAGTATTTCTCTTGCATGTATTTGAGTCAAGTAGATTAGAAGAAGGAAGAGCCCTCGTTCCCTTTCCTTGTCACACCAGTAGCTTTCCGTAAAGTAGAATTTAAGGTTGCATTTCCATCATCGAGGCAATGCACCCAATTCACTATGAAATATATTCCCATGTGTAAATTTTATCCCAGTCTCCAAGTAGGTAGAACACACTTGAGGTAGCACTAGATTCCTTTGGCCAGAGTGGTCCTGAAGTGGGAACTACACCTCTGTCTCGTTTTGAAGTTTCTAATCGTTCTTTGCTCAGTATTTCTCCTCCTCGATTGCAACAAGCTGCCGTTAAGATATCCCTCATCAAACTTCAAGGCGGTCCTATGCTGCTGGTAACGGAATATCCAGAGTCTGGCCCAGTCACCGGAATCTTTCATTCGACTGAAGTTTTACTCTCACATGAACAGATCTTCAAGTTCAGTTTCATATAAAGCTTTTTTTTTAATTATTGTTGTTGTTATTACTGTTATCAAATTTTGTCTCCTGCAAGGATGTGATAAGTTGCCAAATAACCTGAGATTATTTTAAAATGTTCATATTCATAAGTTTTATAACAAAAATCAGCGTTCTCTGTTTTTTTCCTCTCATTTTTTGTTTTCTTTAGGGGGTTTTATTGTTGTGTGGATTTTTTCTGTCAAATATTCGACTTTGTTTCTTACTGAATTTTTATATATAAATTATAAAATGTTTCCCAAAACAAGAGTCATGTTGTTTGTTGAGCTGCTAGATGCCTTTTTGATGGTTATGAAGACTTAACTCATCTGCTGCAGTACAGAAAGGGGTACGATGCCATCTCTGCCAGGCCCACACTGAGGGCCATCGGTCTCAAGAGGGGAGAAGTCAGAGGTTCCCATTCCTCCCAGCGACTTCAGCTCCAGAGCTGATGCTCAGTCTTGGCTGGATTTTCTTGACAATGCAGCCACTAAAGCAACCGAAGATGCCCGTTCTCACATGGGGAAGAAGGCCTTTGGAATCTCTGCGGCGTAATGTGGGGGTGGGGCCGGGTGAGAGTAGTTTATCGTTTAACCCACGAGTTGCCCACTTTTCTGAGCCTGCTGCGGGCGTCTTTGGAATGTTGAGGGGGGGGGGATGTTGTGCACCACCCCAAAATTGGCTTCCGCATGAGGCAGAGCCAGATCCGATACCTCCCTTCTTGCTTTGCAAAAGAACTCCAGTAGGGAAATTTTAAGAAAGGAGGAAAGCTGGGGGAGACGAGAGAAAGAGAACAGGGAATAAAAAGAAATGTGAAGGAGAAATGGAGCCACAATCCCAGCTGCTTTTGCCAGTCTTCCTGATCCTCCACTGACTCTTGCAGCTGTTTGCCGTTGTGGGGGGAAAGCCTTTCATTTGCCCGAGGGCAGCCAATAAGAAACCCTGTCTTCATGGCCCTGCCCACTTTTTTGGGGGGGACACCTGGGGTAAGGTCTAGTGGGCATCATGGCGCTCACGGGTTGCACATGACGTAGAACCCTGGTTTAAGCTGTCAGCCTTATATCAGCAGGGGGTTTGGTTGGTTTGTTTTTGCTCCTCCTTGAGTGTGCTTTTTTGCCAGCCACCTGTCCTGAGACTCCTGCAGTCCAAATATTAGAAACTTGGTTTTAAAAAACAACTATGGCTGCTTTCTCCAGTCTTGCAAGGCACAGCGGGGGAGGGTAGGTGTAGGTTGTCCAGTGGTCCGAGTAGCATGTCCGTCCTCCTGTCTGAGACAAGCGGCCTCAAGTTGCCTTCTGCAAATCAAGCAAACTGGAAAGTACAGAACTGTTCTAAAATACAGACCATGCATAGCCCTTCCATCTTTTTAGAGGAACGTAACTGCAGTCACTGTTTGATGAAGCCTGATCCATACGGTGATTGCATTCATCACCTGTATTAACACAGTTGTCTGGATTTACTCTGAGCAGAATAGGAGTTTAAATGTTGATGGTCTGTTAAATGGCAAAACCTGAAAGCTCTAGGAGCCTTGGCCTTGGATACAGAGACAATAAGTCACAACTCATCCGTCGTCTCACCTTCTCCTGTTTGTTCTCATAGCTACAGGGGCTGGCACAGTCCCTACGTCCTCCCATTCCTACGGATCAAAGGCACAACCTGTGACTTGATACATGAGTACATGAAGCTGCCTTATACTGACTGAGACCCTTGGTCCATCAAGGTCAATACTGTCCCCTCAGACTGGTGGGATCTCTCCAGGGTCACAGGCAGAAGTCTTCCACATCACTTACTGCCTGGTCCTTTAAACAAGATGCTGTGGATTGAATGTGGGACCTTCTGCATGCCAAGCAGTGCCTCCTGATGCCTCGTAAGGTCTGCCTGGAGCTCTAGGGTACTGACTCTGATCAAGCTTGATCAGAGTGTGAAGAACATTAGCCTGGACACCTTTTCACTTCTTTCCTGGTGTATGTTCCCACTTTCCACAAGAGGCCAGAATTGGCCAAGTCCGTGCCTACTTAATCATGATGATAAACTTGGCAGTATGATGATCAGGGACTTGTGGATGTTCAGTCTGGAGAAGAGGAGGTGGAGGGGGGACATGATTGCTCTCTTTGAGTATTTGAAGGGCTGTCACTTGGAGGAGGGCAGGGAGCTGTTCCTTGTGGGCAACAGAGGAGAGGACTCGCAATAACAAGTTTAAATTACGGACAGAAAAGTACCGGCTGGATATGGGGGGGGGGGGGGATTTACACTAAGAGTAGTTCAGCAGTGGAATTGGCTGCTGTTTGGGCACTGATGTTTCCAGATGCACCTGGGTTTAGAAACTAAAGAAACTGATTTCTGGTTTTAGGTTGCCAGGATCTTTTACATTTCACATGGTTCTCAAGTCTTGTCCTTTTCTCTATCAGAGATTATTATATTTTGCACTCTTCTTGCACAGGCTCATCTGTGTTATTTTTTTAACTCTCTTCTCTGGCTTGTATTTATTTTATTTGTAGTCCACCTTTCTCACTTGGACTCAAGGTGGATTACACAGAGTGAGTCGGCACAATCAACAAACTTGGACATTCAATAAACCATGCAATAGGATTTGGGTTGTATGACCAACCAGAAGTCTAAAAACAGAACTGAAGTGGAGAGGGCAGAATAAAAATTGAAACAAGTGTTGACATGATGAACTAAATGATGCAAAATTACACAATAGGATCCAGCCCACAGCAAACTGCACACTAGTACAGACTAGGAATGGGCATGAACTGGGAAAATGTAGTTAATGGTGCCTCGTGGCATGCCCAGTTCATGAACCATGAACTGTCACAAACTTTTAAAAGCCAATTGAACCAGTTCAGTTTGTGAGGTTCATGATGCAGTAGAACAGCTTGTCTGCCAGGCTAGAGACACCAATTCACAGGGGATCTCTGGATGGCTCTCCTGTACCTGCCATTCAAGTTTGGTGAGGATTGGATGTACCGAGTCTGAGTTACGCAGGGGGCTCCCCCAAAGAAAATATCCCCATCCCCATTATTTCCAGTGGAGGGGGGGGACAGCAAAAAATGCAAGGGCAATAGAAGCCCAGTGGAACAAAATCAAAGTCCCAGAGAATCCCTGCAGTAGAAAGGTGGTATTTTTGCAAGCCAGTGCAATGTACAGAGTGCCCAGCAGTACCGGTGCAATCAAAGAGTGGCCAGCAGAATCCAGTGCCATTATGGCAGTGCTAGCTCAACAGGACTGATATCGAACACAGAATCACACTCCAAACGAGGGGAAGGGTTGCAAGCCCAACAGAACCAGTGCGATGTACTAGTGTCCAGCAGAATCCTGGGCCATTGTGGCAATGCTAGTTCAACAGAAGAAGAGCAGAGATTTGATTTATACCCCGCCCTTCACTACCCAAAGAAGTCTCAGAGCAACTTACAAACGTCTTTTCCCTTTCCCTCCCCACAACAGATACCCTGTGAGGTAGGTGGGGCTGAGAGAGCTCTGACAGAAACTGCTGTTTTTCAAGAACAGCTGTGCCAGAACTATGGCTTGCCCAAGGTCATCCAGCAGGTGAAAGTGGAGAAGTGGGGAATCAAACCCGGTTCTCTCAGATTAGAGTCCACGCACGTAACCACTACACCAAACTGGCTCTCAACAGGACAGATATGAAGCAGTGAATCACTCTCCTGGCAAGGTGGGTGCAAGCCCAGCAGAACCAGTGCAAAGCACTAGTGCCCCGCAGAACCAAGTGCCATTGTGGCAATGCCAGCCAATGTCAAGCACAGAATCACAGTCCAAGTGGGGGGAGGGGGGTTGGAAGCCCAGAAGAACCAATGCAATGAACTAGTGTCCAGCAGAACCCAGTGCCATTGTGGCAATGCCAGCTCAACAGGACTGATGTGAAATACAGAATCATGATCCAAGCGAGGGGGGATTTGCAAGCTCAGCAGAACCAGTTCAGTGTACAGAATGCCCAGCAGAACCCAATGCCACTGTAGAAGAAGATGAAGAGATTGAATTTATACCCCGCACTTCACTACCTGAAGGAGTCTCAAAGCGGCTTACAAACTCTTTTCCCTTCCCCTCCCCACAACAGACACCCTGTGAGTTAGGTGGGGCTGAGAGAGCTCTTTCAAGAACTGTCTTTGAGAGAACAGCTCTGACAGAACTATGGCTTGCCCAAGGTCATCCAGCAGCTGCAAGTGAAGGCGTGGGGAATCAAACCCGGTAGCTCTTAACCCCTACACCAAACTGGCTCTACACCAAACTGTAGTGATGCAAATAAAAGAGAACTAATGTCCAACCAGAGAATTCCTGCAGTGCAAACTGAAGGTGGGAACATTTTTTCAAGCCCAGCACAACCAGTTCACTGTACAGAGTGTGCAGCAGAACCCAGTGCCACTGTGGCATTGCAAGCTTAAAAGGGCTGATATCAAAGCAGAGTCACAAGAAATCCAAGCAAGAGAGGGGGGATTTTGCAAGCCCAGCATAACCAGTTACAATGTGCGGAATGCCCAGCAAAACCTGGCATTGCAAGTTTAAAAGGACTGATCTTAAAGCACAGACTCACAAGAAATCCAAGCCGGAGGGAGGGTTGCAAGCTCTGTGCCAGGAAATGGGAAGGTAACAGGAAGGAATGCCTGCAAAGAGGGAGGGGCCCTCTTGAAACCGACATGACTAGTTTGAAACTGACAGGAGTGTTTCCAAGGCTGGAGAATTCTGCCCCCCTTGTTGCTTTGAAGTCTGGTAAACATTTTGTTTGAGCAGAGACAGTCTGTCTGGAAATGTATCCATTCATGAACTGGCTCAAACCTCCACAAACTGCTTGAAAATTTGTGGAAAGTTTGTGCCTTTTGACCTGCCACGAACTTCAGTTCACAAACCATTAACCAGCCAAAATTCATCACAAACTTTAGTTTGTGAGCCGGTTTGTGCCCATCCCTAGTACAGACCACAGTCTCCAATATTGTATTCAATGCTACCCCATTGCCTGCATAGAAAACCTTTCTTGTATAATTCAATTCTGCATAGAGTTTGCAGAAAGCCAGGAGGGAGGGAGCCTTCCTGACCTCCTCAGGCCAGGCTTTCCATAAGGCAAGGGCCACAACAGAGAAGGCCCCAGTACACTAAGAAACTGAAACATCAATG